TAAGGCAAGAAACAAAAATTCAACTGGGTAAAAAAAAAAAAAAAAAAAAAAACTAAACTAATTTTTGACACTTGCCTTCAGGATCAAAGAATGCAAAATATGACTTGAATGGCTTCTTTGGAAATGGTGGCTACCAAGGTAAGAGTTGACTTCTAAATATAAAAACGTAAAAAGATTAATCTGTCTTCTTCCACACAGGTTAACACTGCTGTCATCACTTTATTCCTCTGTGTCATTGTATGATAGTTGTCATCACTTCCTGATTGTATAATAGTTTTATTTACTCCTTTTTATTTAACTTTTTTTTTTTAGATGAATTGAGTTGCCATGTTATCTGTATTATTTTTATAAAAATATACCTCTGAGCAACAGCTTTATAGTCTGCACTTACGTGTTCACTGTACAGGCAAACAAATAGTTTGACGACTGGGGAGTTTTGTCCTCGGCTTGTTAGTGTATTTGAATCAGTCGGCCATGCCTCACATAGATCCATTTCTATATACCCCCAAAAAAATGCTTTCTAATGTTGCTTGGAAAGAAAAACTAAAACGGTTAGCCCGGTTGTTCCTGATAATGCACAAATGTGAGGCCGCGCAGAAAGCACATGCCAAACACCGCCACCGGTTCTAGCCATTTGTTCAATTTATTAAAAAAGTAAATAAAACTCAGATGACGTAAAGGTGTGGACTTAGTTGCTAAAACAAGAGCCGGCTCCAATCGCACGTGGCCTTTTTGGGGATTAGCGCAGCTTTATCCTTAAGAATAAGAAGCGTGTGCTGATTGGCCGCGAGTGTGCGTCTCCAACCTGATCGGAGTACAGGGCGCTCGTCCCTGCCGTCCTTTCACCTGAGCTGCGGGATGGCTCGCGGAGGGCCGTGGCGAGGCCTGGTATAGGATGCCAGCCCTACGGGCGAGTGGTCAGGATGGTTCGCCCGAGGCCGCGGCTGTTGGACTTCACCAAAACTCCTTCACATCTTCAGTTTAACAAATACGTCCTGACGGGCTACCGGCCTGTGTCCACTGCTCACGAGTGTGTGCGGAGTCTCTTTTACATGCACAATGAGCTGGGCAATATCTACAGTCATGGTAAGTGACTTTTTTCTTTTACATGTTTCAACAGACTGTGCTTATACTATCCTTAGACTAGCTGCAAGGTCTTCCAGGTGGTGTCGTACAAAGTCGCAGATGTCTGCTGTACTCTCACTTCTGGCTACTTTTCAAAGCTGACGTGACAAGAGTGTGTAATGAGGATATGGGATTAGCTGTAATCTGCCCAGGGAATCCCTGCCCTGGAAATATCCCACTGCTAACTGGGTCTTGAACAGATGAGCATGGAAATGCACTCAGGTGGCTAAAGTACTCGGTCAAGTTGAAGAGCAGATACACATGTTGGGGGAAAAAAAATGAAAGAAGCTCTGAGTTAAGGAAAAGGCAAGGCATTTCATACACAAGGTAACTCAATGTGCTTCACAATTAGAACATTAAAAAGCAATTGCCAATAAAATGGACATTGAAAACCAAAGAAAAAGTAGCCTGCTTACAGAACATACAGTGACTTAAGTTTTTACCAACAACTTGGATATTAAAAAGCTTTCTAAAATTACCACAATATAAAGTGTAACATCAGTGGTTACGGATATCTTGCTTGCTGGAATAAATGTTTTATAAAATGAGCATTTTGAAATGTTTTGGTGGGGGTGGCAGTTTCTCTTTCCATTTGTATGTCCGGGTCTCAAACATCTCGAGGTGTGTAACCTCTGGAAGTATCAACTCCATGCTCCATTTTCTCATTGATCATCCCTTAAGTTGATTAAGTCAAACACTATTGAAGTAGGGGAAGCAAAGGCTAGTCAGCGCGGGCAGGTTCTTCTACACATTTGTCCGGTGATCGCCACTGTTCAAACCTCTCTGTCCTCCCCAGGTATCCCCTTCTTCCTGTTTCTGGTGCTGCTGCCCTTCAGCATCCCCTGGAGGGAGGTGGATAGCATCTGGATTGGCGTGGTCCACTACCTGGCCTGCCTCAGCCCCACGGTGGGCTCGGTGCTCTACCACGTGTTCATGAACCACGTCGGCGGGGAGCACGTGTACGACACTCTGCTCTCGCTGGACATGTTCGGCGTGTGCTTGGTGAACACGCTGGGTGCGTCTTTGACACCTTGTCAAAAAAGATGATCTCAAGAACATAAAACGAGCACAGCGCATAACAAAACGGAATGGCACGATTCAAGCGGCAACCTAACAAACCGACTCTAAACATGAATTTTAAAAGTCCAAAATGAAATGGAAAAATGAAAAATCTCATGACCCCACCCTTCCTTGTCACCAGGCGCACTTCCCATCATCCACATCACGCTCCTTTGCTTCCCGACGGTGCAGCAGGCTGCCCTGCTGGTTTACATCTTCCTGTCGGCCTACGGCATCTACTGCGCCACCACGGCTCGCACCAACGTCCTCCGCCTGCGGGCCTTCGTGTGGCAGGTCATGTTCCGCTTCAGCCTCTTCCTGTTCCGCGTGTATGGCAGCGGGGCGGGCAGCCCCGACTCGCTGCGCCTCTTTGTTATCATGGACTCTTTGGCCATGCTGGGAGGGCTCGTCAACGTGATCCAGATCCCCGAGCGCTTCGTCCCAGGCCTCTTTGACAACTGGGGTAACAGTCACCAGATCATGCACGTCATGGTTATCTGCTCCATCATTTACCTCCACTGGGGAACACTGGAGGATCTGACCTGGGTCAAGAACTACCAGTGTCCTGCAGAGTGAACCCCACCCAACCCATTCAACAAGCTGGGTTGATAGATTTGATTTTGAGTCAGCAGACTGAAGAATCGAGTTTAACCCTTCAATACTAATTGAGGGGAACTTGACCAATTTTGACAATATTGGTGAGAATCTTAAATAGAATAAAAAATAAAGATTAATCATCCATTGACAGACAGGCTGTTAAATTTAAAGACCTGTAGCTCATATTTTGATAAAAGATCATCTTGGACTGGGCCAAAAGTAACCCCTGAACAGTATGTAAGGGTAAAAAAAAAAAGCAGCACTTTAGCCCTGTTGGCACAAACGGGGAGCTCTTCTAATGTACAATGGAATTCACATGTAAAAATCCATTTTACTGGATTTGTACAGTAGGTTGTTGAAATGCCGCGGTCAATTTATTTTTTAAAAATGGCATAATAAAGTATATTTTTGCATCTTTTCTTGTTGGTGTACTTTGGGAGGAGGGATGGAATTCAAGTGGAAAATTCTATCTGGTGGTAAAATATACAACAGCTGGTCTGTTTTTTTTTTTTTTTTTTTTAATGAGCCATATGTTTCTACTCAGTCGTCTTCTGAGCTGCTGTCGTCTTCGCCCTCCGAAACGTCGGCAATGGGAAACCGCAAGATGGCCGCCACTCCGCTCAGTTGAGTCAGTTCTAAACAAAATAAAGTAAAACAGCTGACGCTTGATTGTGATTTGCTGACAAACTATCAACTGGCACCAAAGTTTTTCCAGCCCTTGCATACATGTGCCAGACAGTCACAATGAAGCATTTGCAATACATGTGCAGGATAAATTCCTAATTCCTGATGTAAACTGCCTTGAGACATCTTTTGCCAATTGGCAGAATATGTAAAGTAGAATTAAATTCAGACTTGCCTGTACGCTGCATGCATGTGCAATTAATATTGTGGCTAGTGAATGTAGCTACTTTTGTTTTTTGACAGATGACTTAGTGCTTCAACTTACGTTCACCAGAGACGTGAAGGCTTGAGAATATTCTGCATGGGGGGGGATATACATATTTTTTTGAATCAACAAATCATCTCAAACGCATACTTCATTTTTTTCAGGCTTACCTGACAATGCCGCCGCTGTCTCTCACTTTGTCCACCAGGCGAACGTAGCGCGCCCTGGTGGGCACGTCCTGGTGCCTGCAGGACGCCATAACGAGCAGTGAGCGCAGAATTCACACTGACTACATTTGTGAGTAAATCGAGATGAGATTATCCTTATTTCACTGTATAGAATTTTGGCGAGACTTGTGTTTGTGTGGCAAGACAAGATATATTTTGGGGGACATAAAATATGTCCCCTGGCCCTGTGAAGGTTGGGAAACACCAGTGTATGTTATTTACCTGAAAAGCTTATCGCTGACCAGGAGAGTGTCAACGGCAAGGGCGTCGGCAGCCCGTTCCACATGAGCGAGTCTGTGAGGGACGCAAGTTTGTCACTAAACGCAATAACGGTCAAAAAGCAACACGATCTACTCATGCTTACCCATAAAAAGCTCTATCAGGTTCATGTTGGAGCATCTTGTAGAAGTCCTCCAGGGCTTTCACCTCTCCGGCAGCCTGGAATTCGAAGAATTGATTTTTTTAAAAAAAATTTAATTTAGTCCATGTTATTGAAACAAAGGACTGTCACCTTGGTATCTGACAGCCTGTTTGTCACTGTGGGGTCTGAGAGGATTTCTGCAAAACAACAAGCAGTATTGCAGCCACATGGGGGCAGCATATTACACCAATGCACATTGAGCCGTCACAGCTTCTCTGTAAGATGCAGCCCTTCTTCTCGGAGTATAAAGAATATATGCCTGTCCATATTTTTTTTCTATTACGACACACAATACGCTCTCATGTAAAACCTGCCAATGCTCAGCTGTTATAAGACTGCTCCTTTTCACCTTTGAGTGAGTACTTGTGACCGGATGACGAGTGGACCATCATGAATTTTGGTCGGTTCTCCAGCAGCACCTTGTTGTCCTGTCGCACAGCCTCTTTAAAGAGATATGTCATGAACTGGTCCTTTACGAAACCCGGACTGGCTACCAAGATGCATTTCACCACTGAGGAAAAAGCAATCACGTTAAGATCGCAATACCACAATATATGTTACTCACAAAAAAAAAATTGAATTTGAGATGAAGCTAAAATGCACTTGTCCCGAGTGTTTGGTGAGTAGCGAAACAGAAGTAAAGTCTCACCATCAAAATTAACGTGTCGAAGTATGGCCTGCATGACAGCATCGTAGAACCTTTCCAGAGCCTGTGAGGAGATGCCAACGGACCTCGCATACATGTAATGCGTGCGTTTAAAAAAAAAAAAAAAAAAAACGGAAATATAGACGCACCTTTTCATGCTGGGTGCAGCTTCCCCTCCGCTTGCGAGGAATGGTGAGCTCCACTTTGGCCCGCAGAAGTGTCATGGCGGGGGTCACCAGCACCAGGTTGGCCAGACCCTCCTGCATCACCACCGCGGCCACGTCCGCCTTCTGCGTGGGGTCGCACGCCTCGTCTGCGGTGCGGTCCACACAATGGTCGTATTGTGCCAAAGTTACATTTTCAACATTGATAACACGCAGGTGCCGCTTACCGATTCTGGCCAACACAACGCTGTCCCAGCTCTTTTTAGCAAGTGTGAACTTCCGGTTCAGCTCCAGCTCAATAGTGTGGTACGCCCCCATCTGATGAGTGAAGAACACCGCATAAGTACACCAAAACATTTATGTACCAAAAAAATATTTAATTTTATGCAAAGTATTATCTTTTTTGGGGGTGAAATAACATCATGCAGGTTTTCCAGTCAGATGCTGCATATAACACAGGGGGTTTTAAAGACATCCTCCTGCCTCATGACACTGGCCACGATGTGCGCCTTAATTTGTTGGACCTGACTGCAGCGTTTCGATATGGTGGACCACATTAGTCTGTTGGTTGGTTTGCAGCATCAGGTCGGCATCAGTGGTCACGCACTACAATGGTTTAGACACCATTTGGCAGACATGACTTGCTCTCAGTCCCACTCTGTCCCGCTGTCCTATGGTGGTCCACCAGTATCAATTTTGGGGCACCTGTTCTTTTCATTGTATTTGCTGCCCCTGGGTTCTATCTTAAAGCATAGTATTCGCAGATGAGGGTCATTATGTTTCGCGAAGCAAAAAGGACGCTTCCTTCTTAGGGCGACTTTTGACACGTCTGGAGGAAATCTGTTCATTAGCGCTGCTGACCTTGACATACTGGTTCTCCTCGATGTTGGTGCCCTTGACTCTGAGCTGGCAGGCCTGTGTGTCAAAGTCGATGGTCTCCACGCATAACGTCAAAGTCGTCCGCACTCTGGAGCTGCCCACGCTTCCGGTAGTGGATTCTGTCTGTACTTTTCTGCGAGGTCAGAAAAAATGCCAGTGCAGACTTTGCGGCCAACCCAACTCCAGCTGCTTTTATTTATTTATGTATTATTTTTCTACTTTTGTGTTGTCACTCATTCCCGGGGGTAGGCCCCAGTGGAGTTATGTCAAATTTGGACGTCTGCGGATGAGGTTTGTTTCACGTGTTACCTGACAAGGACAGAGTCAGTAAAGATATTTGAAAATATGTCTATGTGATATAGGCAATACATTGGAATTGGTAACCGGGACCTGCAAATCCAGCCGTTGGCGTCACAACTTGCGGTATACAAATGTTTGTACAGTGTACCTTATGGTGGACGCTCTCAAACTGTCCCCCTGTTGCAGCAGGTTGTAGGTGTGCCACATATCTTCTGCTTCCTCGGGAATCAGAGTCACCTGACTGCAAGAGTCAGTAAACGCAATTTATATAGCATCGCTCCATCATTTGGTTTGTTTACACTTAAGTTAATATGCTAGCTGGCGAGACGTCCAACAGCCTGGTTTTTGCATGAGAATCAACATCTTCCCTCTCCGTGGATGTGTTATTTTCGTTACCAAATGTCAACAAACGTGCTGGTAAGCGGCACGTGGTCAACAGCTGTAAAAATAGGCTAGCTACGCCTGCAAGCTACGTTAGCTTGCCAGGCAGCTCACTCACCCGGCGTTATCTTTTTCAATGTCTCTATGGAGCAGCTTCATTGTCGCTGTTGTTCCACACGCTTTTTCGAAAGAAAATGCTGTAGATTCACGAAGGCTTATGAGCGTACGGCCTCATGGTGATCTTAAGGCTCGCTGTCAGCTTGACAATGAATTAGTTGGAACAGGAAGAGAAACAAAATGAAAAGTGGTCGCCTCCGCGTGTGACGTCATCGACTCAACAGCAACTGAATGGGCGGTGACAACCGGGTATTTGGGCCACAGATAACATACGTTCAGGCCCTGCCGAACGCTGAGTCGTACGCCATATTGGAGGTGGTTCGTGCAGAAAAGAAAAAAAGTGTTGAGTTTGTTGTTTCTCTACGTCTAAAAGGTTTTGGCATTCAGTCTATCAGGAGTCAACAATCTTTTTGATAGAAAGCGTCTTCTTGGACACTGATTAATGTGAAGCGATGCCAGTGTCATATGCAATTATGAAATAACAAATCAATAATTAATGGTATTCATCTATGTGCACATAGATGTGTATCAACAATGCTTTCAGAAGTTAAGAAACAGATATCACCATGCAACCCTTTTTTAACAATCCCTATACATGTTTACATTTTCCAACAATTACTTCTACAACATACCTGGAATACAGTATCACAATGTGCCTCCACTTGTGAACTATTTTTGGAATAGGCTCACACGCTACTCGCGTGTTCTTTGGTGACGGCTGGCCTTTCTAAATAATTTAATAATGACATTTGATAGAGGCATTAGGTTTATGATTGCATTTTAACTATGCAAAGCACTTTGTGATTCCTCCCTCTGAAAACTGCTCTCTTGATAAACTAGGAATCATGATTCAAGTTTAGGGGAAGAGTTGCCACATCCAATATGGCGCAGACGTCCACAAAGAATTTATTGCTAAAGACGTGGCTACTCATACATCTATACATCTGGGTATTTGAGCTGCATTTTGCAGAGGCGTCCTTTTTGTGCTTCATGAAACTTTATTGACACATGCATATTTTATTCGGCCTCATGGCGACGAACGACTGACGTCACACACTCAAGTGTGGACAAGTACAGTACACGGAATTAATGGGAATGTTGGGGTCATTGCGTCATCGCTTGTCGCTCACTCGCCTCCCATTGTTTGGCGCACCCGCGGGTGCCGCTTCATACAGGACAACAAAGAAAAAGCACTTAAAATATAGATGAGTTAACATAAAATACGACGTAGCTGAGTGGGTAAATATACCACAGCGTCCATATACGACCAAATTCGATGAATGTTGCCATTTGAATTGTTGATTTGTTTCGTGTGAGTAAATGCTAACAGACACGAGAAACGACCGATGCGCAAGAATACTGAATCCCGCTAATCCCGCCTCGTCGCCGAACGGACCAATCGGAGATTGTCATATTGTACGGCCACTTCCGCCCAACCTTTCACGCTATCTCTCATTCAGTCGTCTTTTTTTGGTCGACGGCATGGTGCTAAGCAGCCACGGCAGAAACAACAAAATCCATCGACAATCCCGTTTGAATTTGGATATCTCCAGAGAAATAGTTGACTCGGTTCAATTTCTCAAGTGAATGTCAGCTATTCCGTATTGAGCGACACCGGTAGAAGGCCGTTTGGCTTGCCCATTCTTCCCCAAGGTTAGCTAGCTCGCTGGCTAACGATAGCCGATTAAGCGCTATCGCAAAATTAGCTGATCTGAAAAAAAAGGAAAACAGTCACCCAGGAGTCCGCTGTCACTTACTACTACGCCGTTGGCTTGTAGGTATTTGTCAAAAGAGTAGAAGGCTATCATGGCGGAGGCCGACAAACTGAACATCGATTCCATCATTCAGCGTCTGCTGGAAGGTAAGACTTCGATCATTTCCACCGAGGTAGCCATTTTAGCTAAGTTTACAAGCCGAATCAACGATGCACTGTATGAATTCTTACTACTTACTATATTTATTTCTGTTACTGCCCAAAAATTGGCAATCGTGTTTCACTAACACAAAATGTTTTTTTTTTTAATCAAATTAGTTTAACTAAACAAAAATCGACCTTCTCGTGGAGCTATTTTCTCACCATTAACGCGTGCTTGAGATGCATTAAAAAAAAACAATGTAAAGATTCGCGGCATCCTCCTGAACTACGACGAAAACAACGCGCGCAATCACTTGAGTCTCCTACTAATCATTACCGCTTTTCTGCTTCGACTGAACAATGTACATACAGGCCGTGGTCGCGACCCACCTTTGTAGAAGTTAACAAATCACTACAGGTATTGTTCAAAAATAGCGTTTGAAAATATTGACGTCTTATTTTAAACCCATCTATCCGTCCCACGCACGAAATGGATGAGAATCGCCGCTTCACAACACAGATTGTATCATCTATTAATATATCGAATGGTATTAAAAGTTATACTTTTTTAAATTTATCTGTTAATGTCTTTAGTCTGAGGTTTACTTGTTGATTACTCCCTCCTGCTGTCTATACCCTGGGTTTCAGTGAAAGGCTCCAGACCTGGTAAAAACGTCCAGCTGACAGAGAATGAAATCCGGGGTCTTTGCCTCAAATCCAGGGAGATCTTCCTCAGCCAGCCAATCCTGCTTGAACTCGAGGCGCCTCTCAAGATTTGTGGTCAGACTTGTCTTTGGGTTTTGGGGATGTTGGGACGGCTACTAGTTAGTGTTCAATCCTGAGGAAATTGTTATTACGCTACTAAATCCGTCTGCTGTACTACAATATATTGTGGAGGTTATGTGACGGACCCTCCCCGCGATATAGAAAGACCTTTAAAAAAATAAGATGCCCAGCATGCGTACTTCAACCGGTTTGTCGCTCCCCATTACTGTAAAACTGACCCATAAAACGAAAAGGAATTAAACTGTACATTTAACCATGTTTGCATCAAAAGGGGATGTTCACGGGCAGTACTATGACCTGCTGAGGCTTTTCGAATACGGCGGCTTCCCACCGGAGAGCAACTACCTGTTCCTGGGAGACTATGTGGACCGAGGCAAGCAGTCGCTTGAGACCATCTGCCTGTTGTTGGCGTACAAGATCAAATACCCAGAAAACTTCTTTCTGCTGAGGGGAAACCACGAGTGTGCCTCCATTAACAGGATATATGGCTTCTATGATGAGTGTGAGTAAACCCCCCCCCCCTTTTTTTTTTTTAAATCTCACTGAATCACATAATTGACGGCTGAGTCGTTCGCAACATGTTGAACAAGCAGAAGAAGTAATGAAATAAAAATGTCCCTCTCAACCCCATATTAACAGCACAGGCAGTTTCCATGCAAAACGATAATGTTGCTCACTGTCATCCAAGTGTAAAGGCAAGTTAGCTAATGTCAAAGAAGGTGAAACACGCCTGGAAGACACGAAATGGAGTTATGTGGAAAGAAAAAAATTGGTGCCAAACTTTGTGGGCATTTTCTGTGCTTGTCAACTTTAGTCATGCTTCCTGCTGCGGACTATTTCTGTAAGCACCTGTTTTTTCAGATGAATTTTGCGTGTGCAATTGATTCACAATTGTTATGAGCAAGCACACCCTCTCCTGTGTCACCGTAAGAACCATAAAACCTTTCATGTGGTATGCCAGGATTCCTTGGGCAGTGTCCAATTGAATCACTGCAGTACAGTTACGTTGTGATCAGCCTCAATGTTACTTGGAAAAGTGAACTATATGTACATATATATATTTTTTTTTTTTTTGTGTGTGTGTGGTGCATGATGTAAAAAGTTTAAGAAGCACCGCTTTCGTCTTGAACGTTTAACTTTGGAAATTTTGTATATCATCACAAACATTTTGCGGTTACAACAAGATTAGGGGTGGGCGAGTATCGAGCCGAAACTAAGGATGCCGATGCCAACCACCAATACTAAAGGCAAAGCAGTTTTTTGTTGAAGTCCTCCTTGTCGGTCTTGTTGGTGCTAAATTGCGGCAGTTTGACACATTAGCAAATCATGTGTTTTACTTCTTCCTCCTCCTTTTCGAATGTGTACAATTTAATGTTATTTTAAATGTTGGTTTGTGATCTTTATTTTTTTTGTCTGCTTAGTTGTTCATTTCTTATGTCATGTTCATAATACATCATTCACACACTGTGTGTCAGAAAGACGGAAAGGTGTTTAGTCTCTGTTATCGGTCATTGTGTTCATTGAATTATTATTTTTCAAAAGTACTGACAGTATCAGAACGTGGTATCGGTCGGTTCTCAAAAGTGAATTCTCGTGCTGATACATTCTTACGTGATTATCGGCATAGCTGAAAAATAGTATGACTTAAGTTCTGTTCGGCCTTGGGCGTTCCACCATTCCTAATTTAGAAGAGATGCTTCAAGTTTGAGTTTCCACTTGCACACAGAAGCAAGAAGGTTGTTCTCAATCGACAGTGTGCGGTCATCAGTGGTAGTAGACTGCCAGCCTGAAGCTACACGTGCTCCCAGGCGACACAGCGTGATCAAGCAATGTGAGCCTGCCTGATGTTTACGGCCCAGATTACGTAAAGCGCTTTATTATTAATGTGATGCAACAGGGTGAGTCTTGACCGATTTTATTAGCATCTAGATAAGAGGGTTTGTTTTTTTTTGGGTCCACAGGTAAGAGACGGTACAACATAAAGCTGTGGAAGACCTTCACTGACTGTTTCAACTGTTTGCCCGTCGCCGCCATTGTTGACGAGAAGATCTTCTGTTGCCATGGAGGTAGTCTCACAAGAACAAACAACACGCGCACAGTCGTCGCTGCTGGCTGTTTACTGTCAACACCGCCGTCGGTCGACCTTTGAGGCCCGCCCGGTGCCATTGTCATTTGTGTTTGACTCACAACTGCGGAGTCACACTTAATGACATCTTGTTGAGGCAATTATGTATTTTGAAAGTTTTCCGTTTCGTTTCGTTTGAATCCCAAGCACCCCGTTCAGGCCCCAGTAATCCAAAAGTTGTCATATGATGAAATCAAAGGTGAAGATTTTGACAACTGGGTGAAAAAGGACAGCAAAAGATGCCCTTTCTCTCCCCAAAAAATGGTGACTGTTTTTGACAAAAATCTTCATGTTATGATAGATGTGGATTTTTTTTTCATGGGAAGAAAGTAGCATTTTAACTAAATGAATAAAAAAAAACATTCATGAAAACCAACAAATATTTGATCACACCAATATATATTGTGACTGAGCAAGATTATATCTGACCTGCTGGAAATTTAGCGGGCACTTGCTCGCTTTATTTTTGTGTACTCTAACGTAGGACTTACTTGAATGGTTGGAGTCGGGAGTCGTTTTGTGTTAGAACATAGACCAAGTTACTATTTGAAGTCTTCCTTGGAAAAAAAAAAAAAAACAATCGGTTCTGGAGCAGCTCGATCATCCGTCTCAACCATCAACACACATGTTGCTGAATATGTAAACAGACTGTGATAATCGCTAGGGTAACCCCCCCCATCTGGTCATGTGCTGTTCCGTTGGAAGGCAAACACAGCGAACCGTTTGCTTGCCGGGCGTCATCGCGCGTGCCTCCCCTTTGGTCATCAAAGTCCCTGTGTTTCTGGCAGGACTGTCTCCGGATCTGCAGTCCATGGAGCAGGTGCGAAGGGTCATGCGCCCCACCGACGTGCCCGACCAAGGTCTCCTATGCGACCTATTGTGGGCCGACCCCGACAAGGACGTGTTGGGCTGGGGCGAGAACGACCGTGGCGTCTCCTTCACCTTCGGCGCCGACGTGGTCACCAAGTTCCTCCACAAGCACGACATGGACCTCATCTGCCGAGCCCATCAGGTCAGTTGGGCTCAGGCGTGGATAATTGTCTTGGGGATTCACATTACAAAAATAGATACAATTTATTGCATTAAATAACTGGCTAATTTCCCCCAAATTCAGGCTGTGGCCTTGGTGCCGTCTGGTGGCATCTTGTTGTTATGGAACTGTTGAAGTGAGTTGAGGAGCTTTATTTATGCCAAGTCAGGCATCCATAGGCAATTCAAGTGAGGTACAAACCTTTTTAGGCGACCGTCAAGTGCTCGCCCATATTTGTTTGCCAATTTTTTCTCTTCATTTTACTACAATTGGATTGGATACAATTTTATTGTCAAATGTGCTATATGTATAACATACAATACAACAAAGAGTGAAAGTAAACGTTATGCAGGATGTTTATTCTCCGTTTGATTAAATGGATTGAGTTATTTCAAATCAAATGTGTCCTGGTTTGGACTCATTCCCAACCCCATGTAAATGTGAGGAAATCAAGTCCGCCCCTCTGCCAACAGGTGGCAGCAGATTGTCCCTTCCCTTCTGTCCTCTTGGCAACTTCATTTCAGTTCTGTCAAGCCAAAAAGTATACCTCTGAACAATCGCGTCCTAAATGTGTTATCTGGATTTCAGGTGGTCGAGGACGGCTACGAGTTCTTTGCCAAGAGGCAGCTGGTCACGCTGTTTTCCGCCCCCAACTACTGCGGGGAGTTTGACAATGCCGGAGCCATGATGAGTGTGGACGAGACCCTCATGTGCTCGTTCCAGGTAAGCAAGCAGAAGATCCCCTCGACAAATTGAGTTGGGCGACAACTCGGTCAGGGACGGCATTTTCAGGGAAACCTCCTTTTTCACATGTGCCTCAATAGATGTGGAAACAGCTTTTAAGGCAGACATTCATTTGTGTTAATTGGATGACTTGCCCTTTGCTTTATTTTTTTCTCCCTCCTTTGCCAGATTCTCAAGCCCGCAGACAAGAAGCTGTTCTACGGCGGGGGCGGGGGCATGGGCTCCGGACGCCCCGTCACCCCCCCGAGGAAAGCTAAGAAATGACCACGGTAGCGGGCCCTTGACCTTTGTCCCCTTCTTTCCTGCCCTCTCTACCTCTCCTTTCTTTCACCAAACAGCCAGAAATCAAACCTTTACCCAGGGCTCCCCCCCCCCTCCACTTTTTTTTACCTGTACTTCTTAAAACATTTTATGTTACAAATTGTCTGAACGAGTGACGCCCCCTGTGCCAGTGAATGTTAAAATGCTGGGCAAGTTGTGCGCGTGGTGTGAGAGTATTAGAGATTTCTAACCCCTCCCCCCTCTCTCTCCTGCCATTTTCCTGTGGAAAGGTTGAAACCACAGAGTGGGTCTGTACATCGATTTGACTGAAAATTGGCAGCAGACCCCTGCCAGCAGCTGGCATGTGTGTCCTCATGGAGGGGGGGTATTTTGTTTTCCCTGTCCTGCCGTACTGTAAAATTTCCACGTGTGTGCGTGTGAGCACGCACGTAGCCCATGCGCACACACTTCCACAACTTTTCAGATTCATATGAGCCAGAGCTGTAAAAAAAGAGGAAAAAAACATACAGTTTAGGTTTGTACAGATTTGATTACTTGAGATTTTTTTGTGAATTCGTTTTGTAGTCTTTCATCAAGTTGACCAATAAAGCGAGAATCTGAGTTAGAGTCCCCTTTGTCCGCGTTCTTACGTGACGGCGTTCTCAACAGATGCTACAAACGTGTTTTGCTTGTCGAACTTCATTTGCTCGGACCAACCAATTACGGGGATGGATACTTGATGATGTCAAGGAGGGGAGGGAAGAATGAATTTGTAATCTGATTGGTTCAAGACACAGACATGTACACATTGGAAGCAGAATAAAAAGAGAGAGAGAGAGAGAAATGCTTTGAAAAGAAGAGAATTGATTGCTGGGAATCAATGGCATTCTTTCGACATAGGCACCCTCTCTTGAGATGTAGGCGGAAGGTGTGTCTCTTGAACGTCACACGTTCTATTTTGATTCCCCCGCATCAAAAAAAAAAAAAGGATCCTGTTTCCTTCTTGGGCATTTGTTCATCTCGATGCATGCATTCATCTTGCTGTCATCGAAGCCCTTTTCCAAGACGCTCCGTCCAGCACTAAGCCTTCGAAACGGGCCAATGAGAGGAGAGGTGATGGCGGCGACGAATAGGATGACCCGCTTACCTTTTCAAATGACTTGGAAAACAAATGATATTGTGGACTAGAAACATTGTAGTTAAATGCAGTAAATATACCATTTAAGTCACAGATGATCAAAAGTTGACTTAAAATGTTGCAATACGACACACACACATGTACATTATATATATATAAAATGTGTGTGTGTATTTTATGGGATTTTTAATAATCAAGAAATGTTGAATGAAATATGGTTAATTGTTTTTATTAGACTGTTCCCAAATATCTGATATTTTTTAAAAAGAAAAAACATGCAATTGTTGCAAGATATAGCAGCAAAAAAAAGGAATCCGTTTTGAATGTTGCAGAATCACACACCAAAACTTTTTGCTTCATCACTGATAAAACCATGTTGAGATGCAATTTTCTTGATGTTCTCTCAATTCATTCAACTGTTAAGAAATCGCTGGCTATCAAAGGTACACACCGTTTGCATGCCACGTTTATGTGAATTAAAAACCTGGCTGTAGAACAGGGCTGTGTAGACTTTTCATAGCCACCGTATGTTGATCTGCGCTCAGCAGTAGTGTACTACTTGCAGCCCTCTGTAGAGAAAAAAATGGGACATCCGTCATTTAAGTTAAAGAACAATCTATTTTCTATCCCACTGACAGCTCTTTGGATTTCATTCGACAGTCCACGTGTACCTAATGAAGTGTGCGGTGACTGTTAACCACCCTCAACGGCAGATTTTAATACTGTACACGTATCACGGTATGCGCTCCATCGAGCCGCCTTCCTCAGTTTACGAGCGGTATCGCAAAACCGGAGAGGGATTTTGTTTATGCTCCTGCAATCCTACATGCTGCCTGCAACCGGATACAGTATTTCTATTCTAAATATAATGTGACGCCAGCGCCTAATGAAATGTAATGGTTAAAGACAGCGGTGGGTTGGCGGGAAAGCTTGCCATATTATAAACCAAACACATATCAAATGTGGGCGAGCTTAAGTGTGACGAAGTTTTACTGTATTCGGTACATTTGAAAACGTGGTGGAGGTGGGGGGTCCATTCCAAAAAAACACACTGGTATGGTGTCGTTTTTTTCTGTTTTACATTAGCATGGCGGTGGTGTTTTGATCGCAGAAAAATTGAGCCGACTAGCTAACTTTAAACAGCATGTGACATGTATTGCATTTTTTTCTCTCTCTGCTTATTCTTAGTGGTACAATATCGAAGTTCCAAAAAAAAAAAACAGGGATATGCTTTTCTGTTCAGAGAAGTCATTTTTATTGAGGTACTTATTCAAGTTATCAAGTTACATTATGTGGCGTACTTTTTCGCTTAGCGTGAGCTATTTTAGCATTTTTCATGAGTCGGTTTACATTCGCAAAGCTGCTGTAACGTGTTTTGTAGTCAAGCCAATTTGCTAACTCTGAAATGAGAGCATGTGACAGAATGCATTTTTTTCTTATTCTTAATGTTCACAATACCATATGTAAGCTATTAAAAATAGGGAAACTATTTTGTGCTCGGAATTGTGCCAAGTTATTAAAACGGGTTTTGTATATACACTGGTGCCTTGAGATCTAAAGCCTTTTTACATTGTCTCTTAAAACGACTGCGCCTTAAAATATGCTAGCTTCATGCTAACACACAAGGGAAACACTATAGAAAGGCTAATGAATAGCATCTTAGGTCCAGGTTCACCTTTGAGCATAGTGTGAATAAACTGTAGAGAAAATGGATAGAATAAATAAATGAAAATGCTAATGGTTTCTTTTTGATTCTTCCTTTCCAAAAGGTTGGACATAGAGAAGAGCCCATTTAGTGCGCCTGTAATAGTGCCTTTCAGCCTTAAACTTTTTTTGTGGGGTGAGGGAGGAGATCCGTTTTCTCCTAAATGTTGTACTCAGAGTGTAGTAATCAGTAAGAAGTGTGTAAAGCTGCCGTGGTGCCATGCCCAGCAGCACAGTGTCACCTGCTCTATATATATCTGGCGAGGAATCCTGGATTCACAGACTCAGCTGCCACTTCTATTATTACTATTAGCTAATGCTGTAAAAAGCACTCCGCAAACACGGACGCCGTAGCTCCTTTATCCATTGCCTGATTGCCTGCTACTAATTATGTCCTCACTGTCAATAGCACCCCGTGGCTTTCAAACCAACTTTTGCTCCTGCCGAATCAGTTTCACTTTCATTTGCATTTGCATCTGAGTCAGCGGAGCCTTCCCGTTTGGTCTTGAGAGTCCAACACAAATATAAAATGGAAGAACTCGCAAGGAGCACGGCACAGATGCTAATGAGCGGACTGTCGGCAGCTGTTCTCGCCTTGTTTCTCAATTTCTCTCTCTCTGACCAGCTTTTTAGACACACATCCTTCCATCCTTCCTCCCTTCACCGAAACCGACTTGCTGCCTGCCTTGTGGCGGGTCCCCCATATTGCGACATCACGCCTGCTTTTTATTTATGCATCCTTCCATTGCTTAAAGCTCCTTTTCTGGCATCCTTCTTCGCACTCTTCCTTTCCACCTCAGATCTTTCTTTTTTTTCTTTCTTTCTTTTCCGTTTTCATTTTTTGTTTTTCTTTCTTTTTCCCTTTTCCCGCGTTTTTTGTTTCTCCTTCTTTGGTTTTTGTTTTTCTTTCTTTCTGTTCTTTCAGTTTTTTATCTTTCTTTTTCTGTCCTTCCATCTCTATCTTAGTTCCACTTTTTTATTCTCGATTTACTTTATTTTCCTTCCTTCCGCCATTCCTTTACTTAGAACTGTTTTAATCCCCGAGCCAAACCTGTTTTCAAAACCTCCTTATCATTTTCTTGAGTCATATTATTTAATTGTTCACAGCAGCTGTAGAAAAAAAAAAGTACATTCAAACATGTATACCTAATTTTGGCCCACCCTGTAGAGTTGTAGTCTCCTGCCCTTGTTCCTCTTCAACGACCCAGTCCCATTTTAGGGGAATGTGAGACACTTAGACCCAAAGTATTTCACTCAAGTCCAGGCTACAGCGAAATTTGGTCGTCAGAAAGTCCCACCTCACAAAGGTAGGATCTTTAGAAACAAGGTACTGAGTGCTGTTGCCGCCTCGGTGTGTCTCCTTGTCCGTGTCATTTTGTTTGTGCAAGTCAGCAGGGATGCTTTTCAATTGCGTAACCCCGCCGTGCGCTCAGCTGCGCCACCAACTACACACGAGCTACTTAACACTTGTTCAGAACTGGCAACATGGATAATGTTCACAAATGATGGAAGGGTGGGAGGGTTTGGCGTTTGGAGTTAATGTGGCACATGGTAATCCCTCAGACCTGGCAAGATGTCCTGGCATGTTGCGCCCCCACGGTTGCCCCAGCTTGCACCGTGTAGCGGCTTGAAGAAGGAAGCGGGTTGCGGGGACTCGCGTAAGAGGTTAGGGAAACACGATCCTTCTGGGATATTGAGTTAAATGTCACTGCGCCGTCGTGAGGGAAACACTGACAGGCCGACCCCGATCGCAGCCCCCCCCCCCCTCCCCAATCTCAGAGGTCAGAACTTTTGCACAACAGCTGAAGACCAAGGAGTGAAGTTCTACGCCAAACAAAGGTAGACAAAAGGCCTCAAATTGTTTGCTGAAATACATCGCATACGATTTAGTCTCCCACATTCATTTATGATAAAATGGATCTATTCAGTGTATTTTCTCAGTCATATGTCTCATCTTTCCCACTCTGGATCCCATTGCGCTGTGCAGGTGTACCTGATGTTGCGGCCAAGTCACTCCAGTGCCTCTGCCGCAAGAGGCCATCGTGAGTTGCAGCGGGAGAGGCGCCGCGCGTCTTCGCTGCTCATAACAAGAAAAGTAAGTGGAATATAATTAATTCGACCCCCTCCATCTAGCCATCATTGCGTCTGCTCTGGGGTGCGATTTATGTGTCATGGCGGCTTGGCTCTCGACGTCTGTGCTTGCATTCCCCCGCACTGCCTGCTCACTTTCTTCCCTCATCTAATGTTCGTATTTCGACATTACATTGAAAATAATGTCATGGTACGCCACGAAACAAGTGTCATAAAAAGTGAAATAAGGACTATGTCATCTGAATTGACTCACACATTTACTTAGTGTTGAACACAAAGCTATTACAGTATTCTGTTTTATGGATGGGAGTGGGAGGGAACACAGACGAATTGTATATTCTGCTCAATAGTGGAAGTGAATCAAATTGTTCTGCCTGTCACTATATGTCACGAGCATTGATAGGTGGACAAAGATTTAATTACAGGTACTTGTAGTGAGCAAATAGCCCTTTTCAGACCCATCAGTTTTTCTCAGTTGCTTTGGTACGTTTCTCAGATCGGAATAAAATTCCTCAAAAACTATCTGGGCCTGTTCTCAAAAAAAGCAATTTCTCCTTTCCTAACTGCTTTGCAAATTTCATTTCTGATCTGAAAACCAAAGTGAGTGAGGAAAAACTGTCAGGGAAATGGAATTGCTTCTCGTGGCACACCTGCTGATGATCTCTCATGGAAGATTACAGTAGTTGCGACTCACAGCTTCAGTGCATCAGTTCACTCCAATATATCAACAGGATAGTGTAGGGTTTGAAATCTGAAAAAGACCTCCAAGTTCACCCTAAGTAGATTTGTGATTCTTAACCAGTGTGCTGCGAGATCATCCGCTGCACTGCGGGAAATAATCCACTTTTCCCTTCCCACTAGGTGGCAGAAGGTTCACCTGTGTGTCCACCTCTTGCCATTTAAACAACTGAATGGCTTGTGTTCAATTTAGCAGGCCCAGATTTGACAGTTACTGTCATACATTTGTGAGTGAACTGAGACGAGATTATTCGCCAGTCGCCAGTCATTTGCTTTAAATATCGCTGTCGTGAAGGATTATGGGTATGGTTGGATGTAACCTATTCTAAAGGTATGTCAAATGCTGCCTCGAGGCCCCTGTGTCCGAAGCATTTTTTGAATTCTAGGGGCATTGAACAATTGAGAGAAAGGTTCGAGTGCATTTGCAGTTAATCCTGAAATTGACCCTTAAATCCCCAACCTGCTTAGTTTTTATGACTACTATTACGACTTTTTGTGAGCTTTCTGTTTGGCGCACCTTCGGGGAAACACTGCCGTAGATTGGTTTGAAAAAGTTTTGAGGTTCTTAACATGGCTGCGAGCTCCCCCAACTTCCTCAGCAGAAAGCAGTTGATCTGTCACTCAATGAATTCCGCCCCCCACCCATCACCGAGGGGGTGAAAAAAAAAAAAAAAAAAAAAAAAAAAAAAAAAAAAACCTCCTGCCGCATGATCCCCTCCGTCGCTCTCTCACCTTGTCTCTTCGTCTTATTCCACTGACCATGCATGTTCCAAAAACAGATCCCATTTTCAATCTGCGGTGACACCCCCTCCGACCCACCGCAAGCGCTTCACCTCCTTTCCCCAAATCCAAGTCTCCTTGTACCCGCTGTTACTGTCTCACCTCCTCATCGCTCCACCTCACGCCACACCCCTCCCCATGGCGAGCCCTCCCAGTCACCATGTGCGCCCCCTATGTTGGCATGCGAAGGCGTGTGCCGACGGTGGGTGGCCACCAATCCCGGGACCCCTTAGGTGGTATAAAACCCTGAGCAAGTATGCACTTATTCGCTCTTTCTGTCAGACCAGCACTCCTGAATCGGAGGGTGCCACTTAAGGGCGAGGGTGGTGGATCCAGGGTGCACGCACTTGTAGACGAGTAGACCCATCGGGAGAGCGCGGACAGGAACCGTCGTACGGCCCCGTCCCTCATCTATCCCAACAGGATGGAGAACGCACACACCAAGACTCCGGCAGAATGCCTGGCTTACTTCGGCGTGAACGAGCACTCGGGTCTGACCCCCGACCAGTTCAAGAAGAATCTGGACAAGTACGGCTTCAACGGTAAGACTACGTAGACGCCGCAAGAGCGATGCGGGGAGGGAGGGGATGGGGGAGTCTCTGCTTGCACGGCCATGGCTTTTTTAGCGCGGCCTTGCGACAGCTGCTTGACACGCAGCGAGACATTGAGAAGCAGAGATCTTTGAGGGCTTTGAGGGGCTATTTAAAGATAGCCAAAGAAGATGGCTGGAGAGCGAGAGAGACAGGTGACAGGCTCAAGAAGCTTCCTGGCTGATATATGGGCCGGGGAGCTCGGATAATTTTAGGCAGGGTTCTGAGGGGGCGGCCCTTGGATGGCTTAGGGTTTAATGATATGTGACACGAATGACCATCGATGACTAATTAACTGTGCATCGCTTGGCTTTATTCTTTGGAGTCGACAAAACTTTGTGCGCCGTGAGTGTCATGAAGCTCAATCCCTGATCTCTTTTTGTCTCTTCTTCTTGTTCAGAGCTGCCCGCTGAGGAGGGTAAGTGTTCCAAGCCCAGCCTCCAAACACCTCAAGTGACATTCTTCTTCCCTTGGCCGTGTGATCCGATCCAGGTCAGGTCCAATCAAGGCAACTGGACTCTTCTTATTTGCTGGAGACGTTTTGGCTTGTTGAGGTGCCAATTTAAAATGTGCAGTCTTCGCTTTTTGATTTGAAGTGTGAAACCTCTGGTTCTTCAGTGCCAAAACCAGAGGGTTCGCCCTTCAAATCGGAAACAGAAGCAGGTCTTTTGATTCCTTCAGCTTTTTTTTTTTTTCAGCATGAAAATTTCAGAATTGAAAAACCAGAGATGCCACACCTCAAATTCGGGTGTACTCGGATGTCTGCAGTTTTAGATATGAGGTGTGAAAGTTTTACAACGGAAGAACCGGAGATATCACGCTTCAAATCACAAACGCAAGAGTTCTTTTGGATCAGTAGGGTCCTTAGTTGGAAAACCAAAGACTCCACACTGAAAAGCCCTTTGGATTTTGCATTCCAGGCAAAACGTCTTCACACGAAGAGTCCAATTGCCTCTATTCGAACTTGACCTCGCGATCCTCACAATTCGTCGTGCCAAACACAAGTTTTCCTCATTAGACTATTACGTGCGGACAGAGGGTGGATTTGTCCTTTGTTTGCACCTCTCAGGCAAGAGCATCTGGGAGCTGATCATTGAGCAGTTTGAGGACTTGCTGGTCAGAATCCTGCTGCTGGCCGCCTGCATCTCTTTTGTAAGTAAACACCGGCCCTCTGCCCAACCACGTCCGGCGTTTGAAAGCCGCACTCTAAAACTGGTGTGAGGGACGACAAGTCCTGTCAAGACTTCTTGAACTCACAGGCCAAAGCCCCCACCCCTACCCCCCTCCAACCATGCCTCTCCGGTTCGTCTTCCAAGACCCCTCAGTGTATTTCGGAAGATGACAACTCGAGACAAATTGCGTGTTGTTGGAGAAGGTGTATTAATTCCGGCAGCCAGCTTTCACCACCAGCTGTCATGATGGCCTTAGAAGGCGAATATTGAGGGCGAGAGGGAGGCTTGGGGGGGGTGTCATAAAAGTGAAGGGGGGGGGGGATTGCTGAGGGAGGGCCGAGTTTTTTTTTTTTAAGGGCAGGCCGAAGCTGAGGAGAGAAACTGAATCCTTTGGGAAAGGTCAGGATCAAGGAAGGAACGATGGGCTCTAAGTTGCAAGGGCGTCTTGATCCAATTAATAACAGTGATGTCACCACATTATGTCTCCACCTGCCATACGATGATAATCTGTCATTTTTATGACTCATTTATTAAATGTTTATTGCACTCGTAGTAATCTCGAACATGACTTAAGATCAGTCATTTCCTCTCTCTAAATCACACGGACATCTACACTGTCCAGACTATTTCTATTGTGGGCCACATATTTAAAAAAAAAAAAAAAATGAACGGAAGAAAGCGCATTATGGATGTATATCACTGCCACCAAAGTTAGAAATTTGACTGAATTCTCTTTTTGTCAAATTTCAAACACTGAAATGTTCTACTTTCCCAAAGTAATTTTTTAAGGTGTCGAATAGGGGCTGGATTTTGGACTCTCTTAATCTAAATAGATTAGCTCACAGCATTCTATTGAGAGCCACTTTGCACCCTTGACCCTCACTTTGAGAACTGCCCCCCCCTTCCCCCGCAGCTGAACTATGATTGACCCTCCCTTTGTCCTTCAAGGTTCTGGCTTGGTTTGAAGAAGGCGAGGAGACCGTCACCGCCTTCGTGGAGCCCTTCGTCATCCTCCTCATCCTCATCGCTAATGCTGTGGTCGGAGTGTGGCAGGTCAGTGCGATGGCCGGACGGGACGGGAGGGGCTTGAGGAGGTGAGGGGGGTGCCTGGCACATTGGCCAATAACACGCCTATCCCGTTACGGTGATGTCAGAAGGAACACGCTCTCTCCGGTTACCTCCGTTTCATGCCCGCCTGGAACGCTCTCACTTTTACGGCGGCGAGCCTCAAAATAGCTTTTGGCTGTTTGGGCGCAACGTACGTAAACAATGTCACACATGTCACTTCACGCCACAAACAGGCACACACAATAAGGATTTCTTAATATTGCGTTCGGAGCTGTGGCAAAAGGACACTTGAATTCAACTACTTTGCTTCGGTAAAAGTAAAAAAAAAAAAGTACTGGTTCTGAAAACTGATTTTTTTTTTTTTTTTCCCCCCCCCAAAACGGAGTAAGTCCCCAAGAGCTCAATCAACCCAAATTACCTCGATCTATTCAAGTGTTATCTTTTTTTTTTCATGTTGTCATCTGCAGAGGTTGGAAAAAATAGTAAACTTCCTACATGTCTGTTTTCAAATGTAGGGAAGAAAAAGTCTCAACTTGTCAGAAAAATGTCTCATAAATGCATGAAGCTCGCCGTGCGTACGACAGATGTTGTCCACGCAGGTATTGGCTGATTGCAAATGTAGCGGTATTCCAACGCCTCCGCAGGCACGCCGTTAAGTGCTTGGCACCGCTGTCGGGCATCTTGTCAGTGGAGGAACGTCATTGCGGCCATGCCAAGGCTTTTTTTTGAATGAGAGCATTTGTCATTCTTCATTGTCAGGCGCAGGACAATGCGTGACGAAAGACCCACAGCTTTGTTTATATCCGACTCGGCCGCGTTGACATGATTGTGGCATCCAACCGCGCCCCTCCTCCTCCACCCCTCCTTTTTTCTTCACTCATATGCATTTTTGTGTGCACAGGAGCGTAATGCTGAGGATGCCATCGAGGCTCTCAAGGAGTACGAGCCTGAGATGGGCAAAGTCTACCGTTCTGACAGAAAGAGCGTGCAGAGGATCAAGGCCAGAGAAATTGTCCCCGGAGACATCGTGGAGGTGTCTGGTAAGATGCCATCGCTTTCCTCTTGGCAATCTTGACGACAACAGTGATTCCGACCCACAGAAAATGATCCCGTTGTTTATTTTTCTTCAAATCATGTGTCGTAGTTGCTCCATCTATGCCGGCATCTTACAGTGAGGGTAGAAAGTGCCATGCCTCAATAAATGTTCGCTTAAACACACACTACATCCATTGGACTCTTCACCACTATACACTCCCATACTTAATCAATAATAATAATAATAATAATTATTATTATTATTATAATGTCCACTTTTGACCGGCAGCAAGTGTGAAACAGCATTACAGTGAAAGCTATTTCAAATATTTGGACCCCTGACCAAAATATTAGAAGCAGCTCCCAGGAGGACACATCGCCAATTAAAAAAAAAAAAAAAAAAAAAGAAACAAACAAACAAAAATCAGTTAATACCTCTCTGACAGAGGCATTCAGACCCAAGCATATTTATTTTTTCTTATTCAAAATTTGACCATGATAGATTTATCGAAATATTGGAAACAGCTCTCAATGAGATGCAATCACAGAAATTAGTTGTTAAATCAATGCAATTGTTATCTTTCTGTATTGATTTATTTATTTTAGGGTGGGGGGGGGGAATTCAACCTCGTTTAGATTTGTACAAAGGTAAATATTCAAAACAGCTCTAGGTTTCATTTTAGCTCAAGGTCAAAATATTAGAAACAGCTCCCAGCAGAGTGCAACCACAATGATGAACATATTGTTGAATAAATACCTCTCTGGCAGTGCTAATAGAAAGTTCAGATTTTTATGTTTACTTTTGAAATACTACTATTACATTATATTGTTAGATTACTCATAGTATTAAAAACCGGTCTCAGTGCTATTTTGGCAAGGGTTCAGAACATTTTTACCATTAAAAAGATAGATATATTCATCAGAACTGAAAATCAAATAACATAAATAGCTCTCAGTGTGATTTTAATGCCGCTGTCCAAACATACAAAACAGCTCCCAGGAGAGGACAACCACGATAAAAAACATGTACGTCGTTCAACAAGTACCTTTCTGGCAGAGTCAGCCAAAGCTGAGCAGTTTTACAATGAACGATTGACCGCACGGTGAAAGCGGCAGACGAAGCGTCGTGTCTTTTTAAGGCAATGCCAAGCAAGGGCCGGCGGAGCTGCCACCGGCCTGTGAAAACATGCTGAGTGGAGGAAAACAAAATCACAAAGTATAAATACCCTGGTGAGCACCTGCCTCACCTCTTCTCCCCTCCCTTGTCTATGTACACCTGTTGCCCCTCTGGCTGACCCCACCCCCCCACCCCCTCCAAAAAGGAAAAAAAAAAAACAGCGCTTCATTCTCACCAGGTATCGGTTTACCCTGCGCACCCTTCTGAAAGCCATGGATCAAGTATAGAAATGCTGTGAGGGTTTCCCTTACAGTCACTTGAATGTTATGGGGTGTGAAAATAATTCATGTTCTCGCAGGAGGTCATTATATTTCTGCAGTCCGTGCGCCTCCACACATGTCACACCTGTGTACGATCCAGTACAGTAGTATACATACTGGTGAACGATCAGAGCAGTACTTAAGACGTATGAAATGGTGAGATAACGACGAGGCATATGCCTGAATGAATTGAATTCACTTTATCATCCTGAGATTCATACGATGTTCATCATGTGGAAGTCATGCAGTATTGCTGAATTTTATTGTGAAAAGTGTGGAATTTGAGGAATGTGGAAGGTAATTCTTCACATGTAATCTCTTTTAATTTGAGCATTTTGTTATGAATAATTTGAGAATTTGTAAGAGTGACCAAGATGTGTCCAAGGAGCCGAACAATTCGGTCGAGAAATGCGGAAGGAGGAGGTCGGGATGTAAAATGTCTTAATTTGGGAACTGTGGCAATGGTAAGGGTTCCCAAGATGTCTGGAATGAACAGAACAGTTAGCAGCTGGTCAAGAAATGTGGAGGAAGGGAGTGGCACTTGCTACGTAAAATACGGCAAATCTTACGGGGTTTGATCATCATTGATTGTCTTGTTTCCCAGTTGGTGACAAAGTCCCCGCTGACATCAGACTTGTTTCCATCAAGTCCACCACCCTGCGTGTTGACCAGTCCATCCTCACCGGTAAGCTGTTCCGACGCTATTCACAAAACAGTCTGGGATAGCTTGGCCTCAGGTGAAATTTCCGGATGTTCCAAAAAATGCGCTGCAAAAACTTTTCCAGGTGATCTCAGCAACTGTCCACATTTCCATACTTTTGACACAGCTTGCTGTGCTCTACCAAGGAGCTAAAAGGCAAAAAAAAAAAATCACAAAAGATGGATGACCTGTGAAAATGCATCTCCTGCGTTCAGCTCATTGTGCAAAATGTACTGAAACTAGGCAAAAATGAAGTTCACTCCAGTGCATTTTTTTGCATCTTGTATCCCAAATCCATTGGCTGGTTTCATATCTAATATCCATTGCCTCTGTCAGGTGAGTCCGTCAGTGTGATCAAGCACACCGAGTTGGTTCCCGACCCCAGGGCCGTCAACCAGGACAAGAAGAACATGCTTTTCTCTGTAAGCTTTCTCCCACCGCCTTCATTTCCACCATCCCCTCTGCACGGCCCTCGGCTTCATCTTCTCCTCCTCTCCACCGCAGGGCACCAACATCGCCGCCGGCAAGGCCATCGGTGTGGCCATCGCCACCGGAGTCTCCACCGAGATCGGGAAGATCCGCGACCAGATGGCCGCCACCGAGCAGGAGAAGACCCCTCTGCAGGCCAAGCTGGATGAGTTCGGGGAGCAGCTGTCCAAGGTCATCTCTCTGATCTGCGTCGCCGTCTGGGCCATCAACATTGGCCACTTCAACGACCCCGTCCACGGAGGCTCTTGGATCCGCGGCGCCGTCTACTACTTCAAGATCGCCGTCGCCTTGGCTGTGGCCGCCATCCCTGAGGGTGAGTCAAAGATGCGCAAAAGTCTGTCGCCCGGCTTTCCACCCTCACAAGTCTTTCTGAGCAAACCAGACGACCGGCTTTGGGATCGATTGACATTTCCCTGTTGCGATGGATATATTTTGACAGATGTACTTGTCTTTACAGTAAAAGCCTGAATGATGTCATTCATGCACGTGTACACACATTTACGGTGTGCTGCTCCTAATCTCTTTGAACGGATTGAAAATGATTTCCAAAGCTCTAATTTGGCATAGAACATCTCTACTCTCAAATTTAATGTCTTCTGTACATGGCCCAAAAACAAAACAAAACAAAAAAAACAACCGACCCAACACGGTCGCCCGATGTGTCTCAGGTCTGCCCGCTGTCATCACCACCTGCCTGGCCCTCGGGACCCGTCGTATGGCCAAGAAGAACGCCATTGTCAGAAGCCTGCCCTCTGTGGAGACGCTTGGCTGCACCTCTGTCATCTGCTCCGACAAGACTGGCACCCTCACCACCAACCAGATGTGCGTGACCAAGGTGGGTGCGCTGGAAAAGTCATTGAGGCCATAGCAGGTTGTCTTGCGTGCTGCCTGACGACTTCCGCCTCTGTAGATGTTTATCGTCAAGAGGGTCGAGGGCAGCCACGTTGACCTTGACGCCTTCGATATCTCCGGATCCAAGTACACCCCAGAAGGCGAGGTGTAAGTTTTCATTTCCTAACCAGGATTTGTTACATTGTACGATATGATAAGACAGTGGTGGGCTGCACGTTTGGTACCTGGGCCTTCTCGAGGTATTTACCAGCCTGAATCCACCTCAACCACAACGGGCTTACGGAAGTAACCATCAATGAAAAAAATGATTCCGTCCTTGATGTGCAGTTCCCAGGCTGGTGCAAAGACCAACTGCAGCGCCTACGACGGTCTTGTGGAGCTCGCCACCATCTGCGCACTGTGCAATGACTCCTCTTTGGACTACAACGAGGTAAAGTCGGCTTTTTCCGCATCGGAACCTTCAGTTCCACCGTTCTAGCGACGTGACGTGGCAATGTCGGGACCCATCGTGGTCTTCTGTCTTCCCAGTCGAAAAAGATTTACGAGAAGGTCGGTGAGGCCACCGAAACCGCCCTGTGCTGCCTGGTAGAGAAGATGAACGTGTTCAACTCCAACGTGAAGAACCTGTCCAAAATTGAGAGAGCCAACGCTTGCTGCTCTGTACGACTCCTCTCATTTGTTTTCATTCTCTTCATATCCAATTTAATTTTGGGGGTTGCTTATATTCTCTAATTTGATGAGTACATGTGCTTGACACTGCAGTGGCACTGCTTTGATACCCTTGACAATTTACTTGTACTTCTGGGGAAGAATCTTGTATTCTTTGGGCTCTGAGGAACAGCTCAGTAATTAGTCATATGCAGTCTATTATTGCAGATAGAGACTTGAGGGGCAAGTTTTTTTGGCACTGGTCTCTTTGGCCCATCCACAGAACCCAATTGGTTGGAACAGATTCATGGCATCCCAGTGGGGAAAAATGTTCACACAATTTCTTTCTTGGTCTCCAGGTCATCAAGCAGCTCATGAAGAAGAACTTCACTCTGGAGTTCTCCCGCGACAGGAAGTCCATGTCCGTGTACTGCACTCCCACCAAGGGTGAAGGCGGTGCCAAGATGTTTGTGAAGGTCGGTGCCCTTCTCTTGAGCCAAACGTTTCAACTTGCCCAGCACAGGCGTCAAAACGATGTGGCTCCGCAGGGCGCCCCCGAAGGCGTGATCGACAGGTGCATGTACGTGCGCGTTGGCACCACCCGCGTCCCCCTGACCAACGCCATCAAGGAGAAGATCATGACCGTGATCAGGGACTGGGGTACCGGCCGTGACACCCTGCGTTGCCTGGCCCTGGCCACCTGCGACAACCCTCTGAAGCCCGAAGAGATGAACTTGGAGGACTCCACCAAGTTTGCCGATTACGAGGTTAGCGCTTGATGACCCTGCCCGTCAAATTAACAAGTATACAAGAGTTCACAAGGTCTGAAAACCCCCACCCCACCCCTCCGGGACCCCTTCTTCACAGACTGACCTGACATTTGTGGGCTGCGTGGGAATGCTCGATCCCCCTCGTAAGGAGGTGACTGGCTCCATCGAGCTGTGCCGAGCTGCCGGAATCCGTGTCATTATGATCACCGGTTCGTATTCACTTGTGTTGTCTGGGAAGGATGATGTCCGCGACGGCCACTAAATTCATTCCTGTCCATCATCTTCAGGTGACAACAAGGGAACCGCCATCGCCATCTGCCGTCGTATTGGCATCTTCAGTGAGGATGAGGATGTGGAAAGCAAGGCCTACACCGGCCGCGAGTTTGACGATCTGCCCACCTACGAGCAGTCCGAGGCCGTCCGGAGAGCTTGCTGCTTTGCCCGTGTGGAGCCAGCCCACAAGTCCAAGATTGTTGAGTACCTGCAGGGTTACGATGACATCACCGCCATGGTAAGACGTCCGTCCACCAAACGTGACGATCATGATGAAACGCAACTAGACGGCAAACACTGACTTGTGCTCTCGCTGCAGACCGGTGATGGTGTGAACGATGCCCCCGCCCTGAAGAAGGCCGAGATCGGCATCGCCATGGGCTCTGGCACTGCCGTTGCCAAGTCTGCCTCTGAGATGGTCCTGGCTGACGACAACTTCTCTTCCATTGTGGCTGCTGTCGAGGAGGGCAGAGCTATCTACAACAACATGAAGCAGTTCATTCGCTACCTCATCTCCTCCAACGTGGGTGAGGTCGTCTGGTAAGCGAGAGAATCAGGAAAACGGTCGACCCAAAAGGCCTAAACCAACTTGTCGGGATTTGGAGACCTAAGAAAGATGCTTAGGTGCCCTGTGTCCAAATGTTCAGCTTGCGGTCTCCAGCTCTGCCTTTGCTTGATCGCTTCGTGTTTGTCTTGCTAGTATCTTCCTGACTGCCGCTCTGGGTCTGCCCGAGGCTCTGATCCCCGTGCAGCTCCTGTGGGTCAACCTTGTAACTGACGGTCTGCCCGCCACCGCTCTGGGCTTCAACCCTCCTGATCTGGACATCATGGGCAAGCCCCCACGATCCCCCAAAGAGCCCCTGATCTCTGGCTGGCTTTTCTTCAGATACATGGCCATCGGTGGTACGTGGCTTATCGAGATAAGTTTTTTATTTTTTTATTGATTTTTTTTTTTTGACGCACGCCGGGCCTTCCTGCAGGATATGTCGGTGCTGCTACCGTTGGTGGAGCTGCCTGGTGGTTCCTTTATGACACCACCGGTCCTGGAGTCACCTACCACCAGTTGGTAAGTGTTTGTCTCTCAATCATCTCGCAAGCCTCCATGTTCAGACATGCACTCAACCCCAAGTTCTCCTCCTCTCAGTCCCACTTCATGCAGTGCCACGACGAGAACGAGGACTTCTCCGGTGTTGATTGTGAAATCTTTGAGGCTTCTCCTCCCATGACCATGGCTCTGTCCGTACTGGTCACCATTGAGATGTGCAATGCTCTCAACAGGTACTTCCACGAATCCAAGAGAAGTGTGAACAGCAATCTACCAGGTCTAGGGAAGTAGATGAATTCTTTTTCATTCTACTTCAGCTTGTCTGAGAACCAGTCCCTGATCCGCATGCCTCCATGGAGCAACATGTGGCTTCTCGCTGCCATGACCCTCTCCATGTCCTTGCACTTCATGATCATCTATGTTGACCCTCTGCCCGTAAGTTTGTTCACTCGCCAGAGTTGCTTTATGCGCTGCTCCACTGACTCTTAAACCTTTCACACCCCCTCAGATGATCTTCAAATTGACCCATTTGACTATTGACCAGTGGATTATGGTCCTCAAACTTTCCTTCCCCGTCATCTTGATTGACGAGGTGTTGAAGTTTGCTGCCCGTAACTACGTTGAGTGTAAGTATTTCTGCATTCCAACTCTTTCAGACCAACGACAAATAACAACATCTGATTCCCCGATTTCATGACTTTAACGTTTACTTGATTTTTTTTTTTTTTTTTTTTAACATCATTAACAAATTTGGATTCCATCCTCCAGGTTCAGTCACACCTATCATGCCATTGACCCTCCATTCATTATCACATTAACCCTTTCTGTTGATTTCCAGGCTAATTCAGTCCAACATCACCGTTACTCTGTAACTAAAGTAAGGTACTATATATCTGCCAAGTACTGCTAGTATTTGTTGTTTTCATGCATGTCAGTGTTTCGTCCCAGCTATCCTCATGCACATCCATCAGGCATGTGCATAGTTTGCCTTCTGTACTTAAAAAAAAAAAAAATAGATATTTATGTATTTTAAGCCATGTGTTTGTAGCCATTACTGATGTCACATGACACCAGTCCGTTTAAGTTTTCCGCATTCGCATTCGAGCTCATTCATGTCCACGTTACGAACGTAGCAGCAACGTTCACCCTCTAGTGTGTTAGTCAGGACAGTGGTGCCTTGACTTGCGAGTTTACTGTGTCCCGAGCTACGCTTGTCACTCAAAACATTGTGGAGAACGATGAAAGTCAGCGGAAGACCGTTGCAACTAAACTGCAATCAAATTAGACCCTTTCTCAGAGAATATGTGACCGTGAGCATTGTGTGCTCTTTCTGCTTGTGTGAGAAATATAAGCCGTTTAAAGGTTTTAAATTATTGCAGTGTCCATACTAGTTTCGTTTGCCCATCTATGGGGTTTTGCATTATGTCTTATCTTGAAACTAACAGAATGTGTAATTTTCTTCGCTTTCATTTTAAGTTGGAACGTTTTTTTTGTTTTTTTTTTTAAACTGGGAGTGAAAGTAAGTGGCTAGAAGGAAGCACTTTGCCTCTTTTTTGAAGGGTTGGTCACTTGCTGCCAAAATGTCACGTGTATTGTGCCACCATCCAGCCGTCGTAATGCAAATATTTGCTCCTAACTCAAAACCCCCAAAAATCTCAAAAACGTGGTAAGTGGGCTCACTCTTAGGTTGAGGTACCACTGAAATTGTTTCTATTTACATTTTTTATACACATACTGTATATTTCTAGACTAGAACTAGAATAGTCGCTTCTTGTAGTACTGTATTAGTATCGCTTTTAACCATGGACAGAATTTATACAACAAAACGCTTTACGTGTCACTGAATGACATATTTTCTGTCCTGAGTCGCTTGCTTTTATTTGATTTGATGTGGAAAAAAAGGAATTCACATCGATCCCCAATCATATAATGCATTGGAGAAAGATTTTTTTTTCCCTGTGGTTTGATTGCGTCCGTTTTTTTGGGGGAAACATTCCCAAAAAACATTTGGAAAGCTACTTAAAAGTGCACTGCAATTTCCCCGCCGCACCCCCTCTTTTTGACGGATTCATTTTCTCTCTGCAGGTACAGAAGTTATTTAGAGATATAGAAGAAGGAGATCTTAAAAGGGTTGTATAGAAATAATTGGAGAAGAGCAAGACAGAGACAGAGAGAGAGAGAAAGGAGCATCACAACCATAAGGCCCAGCTGAACCAACCATCAGAGGAGAGAAGATAAAATACAGGGAAATGTGCACCAAAAAAAAAAAGAAAAAAGAATAGCCCTATATAAAGAGATTGAAATCTCAAAGGGAGATGTCCCTGCAAATTCAGTATCAAAGTATTTAAGATTTTATTCTAAGAAATGATGTATTAAAAGTGACTTTTTTTGTTAAACTTGGATATTCTCAGCTGTTGTGTTTTTGTGTCCTCTGTCCATTTTCCTATGATAGATTTTTCAGCTCATGACTTTTACTCTTTTTAGTCTTTACTGCCTCGTGCAGGCGCCCTGCTTCAGGTGAGCTCTGCACAGTGTGCTGTAGGGTTGCATTAATGAAGGGCAAAAAAGCCAACATCCATCCAGCGGCCAGGGATTCAACTCTCTCGGCTAGCTGCAGTCAGTGGTCTCTGGACACACGTTGGGCATGTCCATGCAGTCTCAACACTTTTGGTCTTATATATTGTTTACGCGATGAGATGAAATAAAATGATGATGACAAACTCGTGTACCTGTATTGCTGAGCATATTTTATTGATGAGTAATATATACATTATTTGTATTAAACAAGAAGTGTTTTATATCTAGGCTTGAGAAAGGAGTCAAATACATCTTTGCCCTCTTTTTTTCAGACTAATTCAGTGTTGAAACAAGGCGTATGAAGGGATCGTTTCCTGATAACGAAAGACATATAGTGTATATATTTAAAAAAGTCAACATGACCAACGTCGCCTTGGTGTAGTTTAGCTAATTTTGTCATTTTATTGTGTTTAACTCGCTAAGTTTCCCTGGTGCGTAGCTTTAGTGTAGTTCAGCTACATTTCATGTAGAACAGTATGTAGCTTATCTCCTTAAATTTTGCACTGCACTGATTGAATGTGCTAAATGTGCATATTTGCGATTGATTTATAATCTACTGTTGGATCTGTTTGAGGAATGGCGGATTAGTTATGCTTAGAACACTGTTTTTTTCCTATGAGACTTTTGAGGAGCCATTTTTTTTGTGTGCTAAGACAAGTGTCACCCATAGGTGGCAGTGTCACCATCGGGGGCTCTGGGTAACGTGATTGCACCAGGTCGAATAAGACACGAGCAGACGACGACGGCGCGCAAATTGAAAATGAACGGCTCGTAAAGCTAGCGTGACAACTCAAGTGGATGTTTGAATATTCATCACAAGAATCTTCCAACAACGTTGTAAACCTTCAAGATAATTAGTTTTCCCCTTCAGTGTGCGTATTCAGGACCACTACAAGGTATTTTCTGGTTTTAAGCGCGATTTTGACATTTTCTTTCATAATTAGCCCCTCGGCTTTAGGTACTAGCTCAACTCCACGAGGTGTGTACAATACTAAATTGGTGTTAGCATGGACACAATTTTATGCGAGTTGACCATGGTTTTTGCTTATTGTTGTACTCGTGTGGAAAACGAAAAGAAGATATTTAAGACACTGAGAAAAGTGATAAATGGCTGGTATCATTTTTCTCTTATTTCCCCCCGTGTAATGTGTGCCCACTGGGTGACTGTGTTGTTGAAACGCCTAATTAACACTACCTAAGTCTCCAAAAAGGCAATCTAACGTAGCTTTATGATTAAGCTACGTTAGATTGCCATACACTAGGTGAAATCCATGTCAAAACCAAAATTAATGGGGCAGTATTTTATTTTATCGTGATGTTGTGCTGAATGTGTTGTCCAACAAACAGCAACGGTGAAATGTACAATTGAAAGGCTGCAAAACCTGTTAGATTTCTGTTCTGAACTGTATGTTAACTTGCTTCATTTCTTGCTTCTCCTAGTCCTTGTCAAACTGCTGACCGCTCAGGCTTAAAATTATTTTTCCAATCACCGACTTCTCCTGTTGAGGAACAAAAAAAAAAGTAAGTGATGTAATTAAGTTTTCTCCCCCTGCATGTGTGGATTTTCTTTGGTCACGCTGGCTTTCTCCTCCTTTACAAAAACATTAATGTTATGTACACCGAAGACTAAATTATCCTGAAGTGTGAATGAGAGTGCAAGTGCTTGCTTGTCCTGTGACCAGACCAGAATGTGTACCCCGTTTCTTGCTCAGTCATCTGAATTACATTCCAGTCATAATGAAATGCCACATTTAAAAATTGTATTATGTTTGCACTTTACTTTCTTAACGATATAACCTTTGGGCGTGAACAGGTTTGGTTAGTCAACCGTACATCTTCAGAAAGTAAATTAGGTACAGTCAATATTGTGACAAGCAAATTACACTGGGTTAAGAATCTGAATACAGGTAAGCCCTAAAACACTGCACAATACAAGACAACAGTATCATGGTGCCATGAGATACAAGTTTAATTAGTTCTGTGGTCATGTGGAACAAAAAATGTTGATGTAGCTCTTTCACTATGGTAAGTGTATGTACTTTCTCTATTCTAAGTCCTGTAACATCGACATTTTTACCTAGAAAACAACTGTGTCACTATATTCTATTTTAGTGTGATGTTATGCTACAGTGGCAACGCCCAACATCTGAAAAAAATTAAAGCCAATTAGGAGCCACTGCAACATTGCAAAGCCCGTTAGAACTGTGCTCTGAATGGTATGTTGACATTCTTCATTTTCTTCTGGTAGTCCTCGTCAAACTCCGCTGACTGCTCCGGCGTAAAATGATTTTTCCAGTCACCGATTTCTCCTGTTGAGCACATGAAAGGGGGGATGGGAGTTGCCAGTTTATTAGATTATGCTTAAAAATATGAGAACAAAATGAAGCCTAATGGAAAACCAATAGCCGAAATTGGATCCCTACTCCCGTTTAAAGAAAATGGCCGACTAGTTATCACCGTTGTAAAAATCGGTTGAAATACATATGCGCAGTAGCTTGATGGTGGTTGCATAAATGTTGAATGACCTTTTCTCATGAATTTGGAGATGGTCTGATCAAAAATCTCTTTGCCAAAGAAGCTATAGTTGACCATTGGATTCTCCTCCATGTTCTTGAAGGTCGTCATCTCCACAATGTGGCTGATGACATCATCAGGGAGGTACAAGTCGAGGTACTTCATGATTCGTTCAATTTCACGTCTGGGATTCTAGGGTTTGGGACAAAAAAACAAAACAAAACAAAAAAGAAATACAATTATTATGTCAAGAATTGAGAGATGCCCGTGCATCTCCGACCTCCCACGACCCAAGGACCACCCCGAGAGGCACTTTTGATGGACTCCAATAGTGATGCAACAGCCACTTGATGCAAGCTATCACCAGAGGCTTGACATCCCAGTCCACACCCATGCAACCCATAAACTACTAAGCCAGTGGCAATGCAGCAATAAACTTGCCGAGATCCCGAGGAGCCCACAGAGCGCACCGCCTTCCCCAAACAAACATGAGCCCCGGGAAGGTGACTCGGGCGAGGTCTTAATTCACGACCTCTTTCATGTCTTCATAGAACAGGAAAAGGATGTTCCTCTTTTCGCGCTCCTCCCAGTACCCTTTCACATGATCGTACCAGGAGCCCCATCCCACTGCAGAGACAACGTTCAGGACGTCACTGACCTGCTCGAATTTTCCTCACCCGCTGACACTCGCACTTACGCTCTCCACGCATGAACTTGTGGATGAATCCCTCCCAGGGTCCGGGCTCAGGACTGATCTTACTCATGCGAAGGAAGTGGTAGTAGCTCACCAGGGTGTCCTTGGCATTGCGTGCGATGTAGATTATCTTTAAAACACATCACTTTATGAAATGAGGGTCGGTTCGGGATCGGTCATCCCCACAGGTGCTTGACCACATCAACTTACTTTGCACTTGTTTTCCCAAAAGCCGGCTGGAACCAGCTGAAGCGGCATATGTGTCTTGATGACTCTCGGGGGATCCATCTCCTTCAGGAGATCGAGACCTGATGGTTCATAACAAATACAGTACTGTATATCTGAACTGTCAGTGGTTCCACTGGGCACAGAGATGTTGCTATATTTGTTCAGCCTGTGTCCTGCACTGAGAGGATGCTTGGATCGGAGTACCTGTACGGTCCAACGAGATCCAGTCGTGGTCTAACTTACCCGATTGTTTGCATAGCTGAGTGGAAGCCTCGAGGAAAGGGTGGCGCTTGACGATGGAAGCTCGTTTTGAGCTCCCATCATCTCCGTTATGAAGAAGGAGGTCAACTATCTCCTGGATCCATGTCGTCCCTGATCATTTAAATGCATAAGAATACATCGTGACTTCCAGTAAACATCGAGAGCACCTGAGAGTGAATGACGTCATCCGGACGTCACTTTCAGCGTCTTTCCAAATGGATGGCCACATGGCTCTGTGTGTCAAGGGGGAGCTGAGGACTGAAGACATGAGTGTTTCTTTCACTCGTGCAAGTTGCAGATTGCAGTTAAAACAACTTTGGACCTAGAAATCACTTTCAATGGACATAAATGTCCACGTCCTTCTTGAAAGATTGGCAAGCAGCACCTGAAATGTATGAAGCGTCTATTCATGACGTAAATGCAACATAGAAAATTAGCTGCCGGTACCCAGTAACTTGCCATAAAAAAAGCTAAAAAAAATACACGGACACCAAATCTATATGGGATGCATATTAGTCTTTGTAAAGAATTGAAAACTCCCCTTCAGCTATTTGCGATAGAATTCGCTTGTGCATCTCAGTAAAACGCTATCATAAAAAATTACCCCGAGTAACTTCACAAACTCGTTTTTAACTAATCTGCACATGAAATTGCTGAACAGCCAACATAGGATATGGAAAATCGATATTAGTCAATTGCAAGTGGCGACACAGAACAAATGTACTCATGCTCTTGAGTGTTCAGAAATTCTGCCTATTCCTTCGTTTCGTTTCTGCTCTCAAAGGTGGCTTTAACTCATTCAGTACCAGCCAATTCTGGACCAAGTCTGAAAAGACGTTTAAAAACGTCTTTGGGAGTGAATGAGTTAATAAACGTATGTGTCATAAGAACTCAATGTGTGTACTCTACTGCTCGTGGCATTGAAAAGGTTTGGCAAGTACGAAGCACAAATATTAATTACAGATTGTGTTTTGTTTTTGTTTTGTTTTTAAAGCTGCAAACTGCCCCACTTAAGCCAAAAAGTTTGCTCAAAAACCACAAGAAGAAGCAGGACAATTATCAAACCTGATTTAGGGTAGGAGATGATGATGAGGTCTGACGGATCAGGAGTGAAAGCAGACGCGGCCTCGAAGGCTTTGGCGATGTGGTCCGGAAGAGAAACCCCTTGTACTTTGACAATGAGCGAGCGAGGGATGACGGGCTGGTTGTCTGACATGACTAAGGTTGATGTGTATATGAATATTTGCCTTACAGCTCCCTCACATCGGTTTAAAAACCAACAAACCCTCAGAGGGCGTTGTCAATCGTGTCATTCGGACACCCAGAATATAATCACGAGAGGCCCGAAGATGCATGTTGTCTTCACGCGATGGGTGGATGATTTATCTGTTTGCCCCGCACATAAAAAAACGACTTAACACTTAACTACTGAAAGTATCTGTTCCTTCAGATACCCATTGAATATTCATTGAGACCCGGCCGTTTGGGAAACGTACCCAAATTTCCAACGGCCACCAGGGCACTGGCTCCATCATGAATGAGTCATGCTTGCAATGTACCTGCCTCGGCGTGCACCCCTTAGTCGATTTGAGGTCGACACACCCGATGTTTTTCCATCGCGTCATTTGAATTGGATGTCTTGCAGCAGAGAGAGATGGAAATCATCCCAGGAAAATCTCAAAATGATTGCTCCGGGAACACGTAATCAAATAGTAACTGAAAAAGGAATTACAGGCACATGCAAAAAAAAAAAAAAACCCCACAAAAAAAAAAAGCAAAACAAAAACGTAAACATTGGCTAAAAATACATCAGACAAGCACTAAACACTGCTTCCAGACTCCAGCCCATTCCACTGTAGCTCAATTTGTAGCTCAAAGTGATTTGTCTGTGCTGGTCTTTTGTCTTGTAATTGAGTACTGCAACTGTTTGCATCGTTTCTTTCATGATGGCTTACCTATTTGGTTTTTATTTCTCTCATTGTAGTCTTAAAATTTTATGCGTCTCACTGTGCTATTTTATAGACCTGCCCTGGGGCTACGGCTGAAAATGAGCATTTATGCCAAGTGCGGCGAATTTACAGTATTTATTCTTGTGTTGATTTATGTGCACTGTACCAATGAACTGAATAAATACATAAAATAAAGATGGCGATTATTTTTCAAAAAGTTACTTGAATAGTATTCTACTGTTAGGTCATGCAGACAGTTTTAATGTTTTATTGTTGTTTTAACCGCAAACTGCCACATGACGAGAAGCATGACGGCTATCAAACCTGATTTAGGGTAGGAGTCGATGAGGATGTCCGACGGATGAGGCGAGAAAGCGGCTGCTCCCTCGAGGGCTTTGGCGATGTGGTCTGGAAGAGGAATCCCCTTGACTGTGACCAAGTGCGAGCGCGAGATGGGAGTTTGGTTCTCTGACATGACTGAGCTCAAGCCAAAAGTGTTGAGGGTGCCCTCGCAGCGTGTTAGTATGAAGTCCTTTCTCATCCCAATGATCCTTTGGGCTTTGTAGCTAATCATCAGGAGCCGCAGGGCAAGAGGACTCAATTATGCTGTGTCAACAGCACCACGCTTTAAATATGATGGCGGAGAAACCGGAAGATTCTCTGTCCTTGCAGGGTGGTTGGTCGACCGCTTATCCGTTTGCTGTTACTGTATAATTGCCTGCTTTCCCTGCCCTGTTTCGGTGGCTCTCTCAAACCCAAAGATTGCGGGTTCGATCGGCAACCGTTGTGACCATGCCTCCTACGTGTCCTCGAGCAAGACACTGAACCCTGAGTTGCTCCTGATTCCGTGTCATCCGTCGATAAAATGAGGAGACAGTGTTTAAAGCGCGTTGAGTACCGAAGGGAAAGCCCGTTTACCTTGTGGGTCCTGCTGATTTGCTTTTGAATCCAACAAACCCTCAGCGTACAGCGCCAAGAAGAGCACCACACTCCAAAAAGTGATCAGGAGAAGGTACAAGGTGCTTTTAGTCTTCTAAAGACCGCTCATCTTTTTTGCACTTCAGCCCAATTCTCTTTCCTCTAACTTCCTTGCCCCAAACTGTAACACTAACGCAAGCTACGAAATGAAATCCATCATTCACGTCTCTTGATGAGCTTCCTTTTCCACCCTTCTTTCTCCCAATACGCCCCTTTCTACCCACCTAGATTAAGTCAATAAAAACCTGACCACAGGACATTTGACAGTATTCTTTTTAAGGCATGTGACATTCATGATTTTAAGCATCAGGATATGCAGAGCACGTTGAAAGTCAAAGCATTTCGATTGAGTCAGGCGTGTGGTTTCCAATTGACATTCCTCAGTGTCACGTAAGACGTGACACTGCAACGAATGTTGCAGCTAAAACTCTGCCCCGACAGCATCTCTTGTTTCAGAAATCACAAATTAGGAATTAGTCAAATTACACGACCCGTTGAAATGGAATGGAAATGCCATTAATCTTGTGCAGCCGCCACCCAGAAAAAAAAAAAAACAACTGAAAGATTTTAATGTGATTCCAAAATGGAAAATAGCACTCAATAATATATGCTGCACAAAAAGAGAGTAAAAGCATAATTAAAGAGAATGTAAAAATATCACATGATGGATCATGATTGAATGCTGGAATTCATATTGCTGCACCTTCCGGTGTTCCCTTCTTGGCCACCAGGCGGCAACGTAATGGCAGTCGCACGGACAAATGAAGAAGAGAGAAAAGTAAGAACAATAATCTTTATTTACTGATGCACTTTTAAACTCATTTTCTGGCTTTATTCTTGACCCCCCCCCCCCAAAAAAAAAGTTGGATCAACAACCCTCACAACACGTTCCAATGAAGCATAATTAACGAGATTCCTCACAAATGGGAACCAACCCCCCCCCCCCCCCCTTCCCCTTTTTTTTTTTTTAATTTGACTGTGATGGTCAACTGCAGTTGTCACACGCAGCAGAGAAATGCGGTCGTAGCAAGTGAAAGACCGCAAAGCTCGTTACAATTCTGTCTTGAATGGTATGTTGGCTTGCTTCATTTTCTTCTCGTAGTCCTCGTCAAATGCCGCCGACTGCTCTGGTGTGAAGTGGTTTTTCCAGTCACCAACTTCTCCTGTTGTGAACAGAACAAAAGGAGGAGACACGCCAGTTTGTTTTTTTTTTTTTTTTTTTTTACATGATGGCCTAAGTGATGCTTGATTGGGAAACAGGCAGCCCCACCACATGTTGGGACACTTAAAAGAGAATGGCCGAATGTTTGTGAACATCAGTTGAAATGTGCGTAGTTGCATGATGGTGGTTGCATCACGATTGAATGACCTTTTCTCATGAATTTGGAGATGGATTGATTGTAAATCTCTGGCGGAAAGAAGCTGAAGTTGGTCATCGGGTTCTCCTTCATGTTCTTAAATGTCGTCAGCTCCACGATGTGGCCGATGTCGTCATCAGAGAGGGACAAGTCCAGGTACTTCATGATGCGCTCCACTTCGCGCCGAGGATTCTGGGCGAGGGAACGAAAGGAGAAAAACCAAGTCTGTTCTGCACCGAGAAGTATTCTTCATGTCCAATTGACTTACTAAAGCCACGCAGAACTACTGCATTAAAATGCACAATTCTCCTCGTGAACAGAGAAGTACCAGCGACAAATGACTCGACAGAGGTTTGACCTCACTACCTCTTTCATGTCTTCATAGAAGAGGTAAAGGATGTCCCTCTTTTCTTGTTCCTCCCAGAAACCTTTGACGTGATCGTGCCAGTAGCCCCACGCCACTGCGGTGACAACGTTCAGGAAGTCACTGACCTGCAGGAATCGTCCTGATGTCTTTACTTACACTCCCCGTGCATGAACTTGTGGACGAAACTCTCCCAGGGCCCAGGCTCGGGACTGGCCAAATTCATGTGATGGAAGTGGTAGAAGCTCACCACGGTGTCCTTGGCATTGCGGGCAACGTAGATGGTCTTTAAAACACACGTCACGTTATCGGATGAGTGGCGGTTCGTAGTTGCCACTTGTGCAGGTGCTTGGCCTTTGTCGACTCACTTTGCACTTTTTTTCCCAAAAGCCGACCGGAACCATCTGGATTGGCAGATGCGTCTTGATGACTCTTGGGGGAGCCATTTCCTTCAGTTGATGGAGACCTGATGATTTGCGGCAAATCTATCAGTTAGCGCTGCCTTGATTTACGAATTGAATTTGCTCTGTGACCAAGATCGTAGCTCAAGTCACTCATTTATCGTGTTGTGTGTGCGGTCCAGTGAGTGATCTCAAGAGCTGAAGTCAGGTTGAGCCATCTTGGCTGTTCAATCTACCTGTTGGTTTTTTTTTGACCTACTGTGGCTCCTTGCAAGTGTTCTCATTTTGCATTTGAGCTTTGTCCTCTTCACTGGGGTTTATGTGGAAGAACAGGATTCCGGATAAAAAATATCAGACAGGCCCAACTTTTTCCTGTTGTCATCATCCCTTTTTCATTAAAAACATTTTTTAAAAATGATATTCCACCATCTGTGGTTTTACAAAGGAATAAGAAACTAAAGGCTGTCGTCCTTGTGACAACTGCCTCGTGAAGTGCCCTCTCCTTTTGGGTGCAAACGGCTCGGTCACCCCAGAAAAACGTGTAGCTTGTCTGAAGCATGCAAAGCGGGGGGTAGAATGTTGACTGATTAAGTTTGCTTGAAAGATTTCAACTTTTTGCTTTTGTCTCTCATAACCGCTGTTAAGGCCTTTTAACAACGCACTCGGTTTGGTCTATTGCTGTTAGCACTCCGGCAGCCTTTCTTATTGTCCATGGCGTGTTGGTAAGTGCAGCGTGAAAAGGCAGCTCTGACCACTCGGAATTTGGAAAAGCTCATAAACTGTGGTTCTTGGAAGACAAGGAACCACTCCAAACTATTTGTTCCGCAAGGAACAGACAATTGTTTTAAGAATTTTCCACTATATTTTCAAATTTGGAAAACCTGTACAATGTAGTGGGATCCACTTTAAGGTCTACGCACCCGATTTTGTCCGCAGACGGTTGCTAGCCTCGAGGAAAGCAGTTCGGACGGTGATTGGGGCTCGTCTGCAGCTCTCAACATCTCCGTTATGAAGAAGCTGGTCGACGATCTCCGCGGTCCACGTCGAGCCTTGTCACCCAAAGGTACAAGAACACGTGACTTATTTGACCTTCCGATGCACGGCATCATCCAGACACCACATTCACTCTATCGATCCATTGCTCGACGATTTGTCCTCTTTCGGGTCACAGGGGAGCTGCAGTGTGTCGCAGCTGACTCTGGGCAAGAGGCAGTGTGCGCTCTTGACTGATTGCAAGCCAATCGCAAGGCACATATCGAGAGAAAAACAGTCACACTTACGATCTTGCCTGTGGACAATATAGAGTATGCCATGAACATACCATGCACTTTTTGAGAATGTGGAAGGTAACTGGCGAACCTGGAAAAAAACAAACCCGCACTGCAAAGGGCGAACATGGAAATTCGACATAGAAGGTCAGAAATGTGAGATGCCAAAGCCGTAACCCGAGACTGAAGCAGACTTGCCGTAGACCGACAATGAAATCGTCCTCCGTTTGAATGGCACATTAGGCCCCTAAAAAGAGACGGCGAACAGAAGCATAAAGGTAATCAAACCTGATTTTGGGAAGGCAGCAATGAGAATGTCCGATGGATGAGGACAAAAAGCGGACACGGCATCAAGGTCTTTGGCAATGTGATCCGGCAGAAGGATCCCTTTTACTGGGACCAAGAGCGCGCGAGGCATGACAGTCTGGTTCTCCGACATGGCTGAGGTTTTTGCGGTTGCCCTTTCAGTGTGGCCCTTGTGTCTGTATGAAGTCCTTCCTCCTCTCTTTTACTCTGGTCTCAGCACTTGCCACCGCTGAATATTTATGTATTTATTTATTTTCCATAGATCTTCTGCTGATGTGATTTCAAGCCAAATGACTGCCAGTAGTAATTTGACAGCACCACACCCAAAAAGTAAGCTTTTCTGCAAAGGGGCCAGCTTGCCTGTTTAGTTTAAACTTTCCATCTTTACATCGAGGTGTGTTTGACAACTTAGGGCAGAGCACCTTTGGTTTGAAGCCACCCACTTTTGAAGCGAGCGAAAGTATTGGAACAGACTTGGAGTGAATAACATTTCATATTTGGTGGCATAACACTTCGCTGCAATAACCGCATCAAGCATGCGACTCACCGATTTCACCAGGCTGTTGCGGTCGCCATTTGAAATGCTTTTTCGGGCCTTTTCTGTAGCCCCGTTCAGTTCTTGTTTGCTTCTGGTGGTTTCTCCCTTGGGTCTCCTCTTCAGGAGGTAAAACGCAGGCTCTATTCAGTTAAGGTTCTGCCATTGATATGGCCAGTCTTCGATAGTCTTTATTGAAATGCTTGTAAGTTTTTTTGAACTGTGTTCTGAACGGTACGTTGAAATGACTTTTCCAATCACCAACTTCTCCTGAAATTAAGCTGACATGCATCTCGAAAAACGTCTAAAAACTCTGACTCATCAATTCATACCATGCGGTGACAATCATTTGTTAGTTTTACATCACATTCTCATACATTTAAGAACACGAAACGGTTTAGCCTGTCCTCACCCTTGTTTGACAACATCAGTTGACTTAACTTGGACTTGTGAACGTAAAACAGAGTGAAAAGCAGTAACTCGCCAAACTTTTAGTGCACGGGTGTCAAAGTCAGGGCCTGGGGGCCAGATCATCATTTTATGTGGCCCACGAAAGCAAATCGGACATGGCAACTTCCATGATGCTTGCTAAAATATGGAACACAATTTCAAATTCTCATATGTAATAAATAAGAGACATGTTGTGAGCAGGCGGCCCGGTAGTTGAGTGGTTAGCACGTCGACTTCACAGTGCAGAGGTACCGGGTTCAATTCCACCTCCGGCCTCCCTGTGTGGAGTTTGCATGTTCTACCCGGGCCTGCGTGGGTTTTCTCCAGGTACTCCGGTTTCCTCCCACATTCCAAAAACATGCATGGCAGGCTGATTGAACACTCTAAATTGTCCCTAGGTGTGAGTGTGGGCGTGGATGGTTGTTCATCTCTCTGTGCCCTGCGATTGGCTGGCAACCGATTCAGGGTGTCCCCTGCCTACTGCCCGAAGACAGCTGGGATAGGCACCATAACCCCCGGCGACCCTAGTGAGGATAAAGCGGTTCGGAAAATGAATGAATTAATGAATGAATGTTGTAAGCATGTTCCTGTTTCCAAACAACTCATTACAGTAACTTAAACAATAGTTGAATAAACCGGTATTCTTGACTTTTTTTTTTTTTTTTTTAATGATTTCAGTCATCACAGCCCTGCTAGGGAAACGGTAACTCAAATGTGGCCCGCGACGAAAACGGGTTTGACAACCCTGCTTTAGTGCATAAAGGTGGAGTTGGCCATCGGGGGTCTCTTTCATGTTCTTGAAGGTCGTCGACTCCACCTAGCTTGTTTTTTAGGGTAGGAGGTGATGAGGAGGTCCAGCGGAGGAGGTCAGAAAGCAGACCTGGTGCCAAAGTCTTGTTGTAAGGAAAAGAAAAATCCCTTTTACTGTGAGCAGGTGGGAGCGATTCGAGTCCTTCCTCATCCCTGTTGCCTCAGTGGGCAGTGCCAACAGCCGACACCCTTAATGTGACCAGGAGAAGCCGTTCGGGTGCCGTTCATGGTTGCAGCAAGACATCTGAAACATGTGACCTGGAGGACCGAGGTCGCTCCAAACCAAAATCCATCACTCACACATTTCTTGATGAGCTCCCATAGCTTTGCCAACCCTCCCTGCCCGCAAAACATGCCTTTCTCCCCAAATCAATATTCAGTGAAAGCACGACCAAAGGACAGAAAGTCATATTTTAATGCATGTTACATTCACGTAGGCATCAGAGTGTGCGGACCTCATTGTAAGTCCAACTGTGAGCACTGCGACCTTGTGTGTCGAGCTGTGTCGAATTGCCATTCGACGAATCCTAAATATTTCAGCTCCTGTAAGCTTGTTCCATATAGAGTGAGACAAAGGTTTCCCTTGGTACGGAACGTGTGAAGGAACCGAGATGTTTCGTTCCCCGATCCATCCAATCCACTCCAGTGATTCAAGCGAAGGCAACACAATGCTGGAGTGGATCGACACACCGTTCTGAGGTGCCGTTTGAATCTCAACTTGTGAGCGTGAAACCTTGTTTGTCTTTAGGTGTCCTGCAACCAGTCCCCAATATGCACAAGTGCGATGGAAAATGCCTGAAAGGATAGATTCAAAGCAAGTGGATGGAAGGCTCGCGAGCCATAATCTGAGTGCCAGGAGCAACATGCTAAATTATGTTGAGTTTTTAACTTTTGGAGTTAATGACACTTTGGGTGTGGATGTGTTTCTTTAGTCAACCATTTCATAAAGTCAATATTGTGACAAGGAAGTGACACGGCATAAATCCTTTCCCCAAAATGGCTTGAATAATTTCGTACCACATTACTGTATTCCCTCGTGAACTCGGATCATGCTGTAAACTGCTCGAGGCTAGTAACGATACACCACACGGATGTCATCTCTACATATTGTTCTCTTCTCTTCTTGATCTCTTTTGAGAAGCTTTGTCGTAGATTTCTTTTTCACCCAAAAGTTGCTTGGACGAGAAACAAGTTCTCGTGTAGCATCAGCAGGCTTTCTTACAACTGCAAAACACTTTTGATATCATTTTACTATACTGCTCAGTTATACTGCAGTTGTAACAAGCAACAATGGAGAAATGACTCGGTACACGACACTGAAACAACGCGAAGCCTTTTAGAACTGTGTTCTGAACGGAATGTTGACTTGCTTCATTTTCTTCTCGTAGTCCTCGTCAAACTCTGCTGACTGCTCAGGTGTGAAATGATTTTTCCAGTCTCCGACTTCTCCTGTTGAGGACAAACAAAAAGAAGATAACGGCTTGAATGGTGGGTAGAGAAGTGTATCCCACCGCTCCGTGACGAGAGGCGCTAGCCATTCGCTAGCTTGGGCGGTAACAGTAGAGTCATCATAATAACTAACATGGAAAATGCACACTAATTGGGAAAACTGAAATGATAAGAAACAACTTGACAGGGTCTTAAAAGCCTCCGAGGAACAGTTTTTAAAAGCACCAAATCATTTATCTGACAAATTCTTCGAACCTGAGAATGTTATATCCTAATTCTTCATATATTTATGACAGGCGAAAGGTTCCCCACCCGTAACATCCTCCGCAGAGGGAAAAGCAAGAACTCCCAAGACCTCAAGAGGTTACTGCTTTACTCTAACAGGACTGGACTCAAGTCCAATGACCTTTTCTCATGAAGCTGGAGATGGACTGGTCAAAAACATTCTCAGGAATGCAGGTGTAGTTGGCCATCGGGTTCTCCTTCATGTTTTTGAAGGTCGTCAGCTCCACAATGCTGCCGACGACATCATCAGAGAGGGACAAGTCCATGTACTTCATGATGCGTTCCACTTCACGTCTGGGATCCTGCATGGAAAAGTAACAGCGGGGTATGTGCCGAGCTTCTTCAAAGAAGCTTCTGGCAGACTAAATAATTCCAAGAATGTGTTGTCTGTGCGTGCGTGCGTGCGTGTGTGTGTGTGCGCGCGCGGGCGTCTGTGTGTGTTGCACATAAAAATGCAATGAATGCCACAGGAGAGATGTGAAATCACTACCTCTTTCATGTCTTCATAGAAGATGTAAAGGATGTTCCTCTTTTCTCGTTCCTGCCAGTAACCTTTCACGTGATCGTACCAGGAGCCCCACGGCACTGCGCAGCACGTGAGTGTGGGGGAAATTATACAATTGCACTCAATTGGTCCAAAAAGTATGATCTATTTGCCACGGGTTCCCCTATCTGTGCCGACGACGTACGGCCTTACGACTGCTCGATGGCAGAAGGAACCGGTCATGTTACCATATAAAAAAACTAAGGAAAAAAAAACAACTTTTCTGTTCAACTAAAACAGGCCCAGATTTCATACAGTGTAAGTACATTTGAGGGTAAATTTGGATTTCAATTGGGCCGTACGATACTGCTCCACTTACTTTCTCCACGCATGAATTTCTGGACGTAGTCCTCCCAGGGTCCAGGCTCAGGCTGAGTCATATTCATGCGACCAAAGTGGTAGTAGCTCACCGTGTTGTCCTTTGCATTGCGTGCTACATAGATAGTCTGTGCACGAGACAGAGGGGAGAGTGAAAGCCACAATGCAAGGAACACCTTCAAAAAGAATTCATGTTGAGGTGGCATGAGTGGCGTTGCCGTCTGTGAATCCCTACTTACGTCAACTTACTTTGCATTTTTTTTCCCAAAACCCAGTTGGAACCAGCTGAATTGGCAGATGTGTCTTAATGATTCTTGGGGGAGCCATTTTTTCCAGAAGCTGAATACCTGAGAATTCACATGGAAAAGATGTATTTGCAGCAGAGCAGGGGTCACCAATCTCTCGCCCCTTCCTGGAAGGGGCGAGAGATTGCCTTCCTTCTTGTGTGTGCCTTCTGGCTGCCGTGCCAAAAAAGCCTGCTCCTTTGGTTGCAGTCGATTTCGACTGGAGAATGCAAAGTCAGGCTGTGTGTGTTGGTGTGTCAATTTGTTTTCGAGAAGAACCCAGATGAAAAGGATGTTTTCCTTCTACCAAGTATTTGGAATATTTGTGGTTGTAGTGTGCAGTGATGTACCATACCGTGCTCAGAGCTGGGGGTTTTTTTTGTTTGTTTGTTTGTTTTTTTTTTTTTTTTTGTTGTTTTTTGGTGCAGGGGTCATTTCAGTTTTTATAAAGGCACATGAGAAAAATGTGTTCGAAACAGAAAGATTGTTATCTAATTTGAACATTTGCTGTTGTTTGTTTTTAGACTCAAGCAGCAGGTCAGATCAAATGCTGTCTCCACGTGAACTTGTTCTCCAACTCTTGTTGTCCCGCTCTAAGGTAACCAAAATACAAATGGCTCTCACTCTGATGTGGTGCAGATCAGCATGTGCACTTTTGGGTCGTGGGAAAGCTGAAGTCTTTCCTTACATCTTGCATTGGTTGCTAGTCAGCTGCTTGGCAGTTGTGAATGGGGGCAGTGGACAGGAACTGTTCATTGAATGTGAATCGGTATACTACAAAAAGTCCAAAATAAACATTATATTCAATATATAATGTACAGAGTGTATACTTGTATATACAGTATTTGGTCTGGGAGAGACATCACCTCATCCACTACCCAAAAGAGAACAAGCATGATAGAAAATGTATCGATGGGTGATACAATATGTTGCTCCACTGAAAAGCATGTATCCCCGCATTTTGCGTCTTTTTTTGGCGGGGGGGTTCACTTTTGATTTTATCTCTTTTGACTTGGCTTGTGTCAATGTATCAAGTGAATTTCGAACATATTGCAACAACATGCGGTACGCACCTGAGGGGATTGGTGGTGGGCTGCATATCTCCAGGAAAGGACTGCGGACCGGCGTGGGTGCTCGTCTACAGGCCTCCGCATCACCGTTGTGAAGAAGCAGGTCAACTATCTCCTGGGTCCATGTTGTCCCTTAAACCGACGACAGTACAAGAACACCATGAAACAACATCATCCCATATTGTCAAGGTGGAGAGAAGCAGTGCATTTTCTCCGACCGGCTTTCGGGTAGGTGGCGATAAGGATGTCTGATGGGTCAGGACAGAAAGCTGAGACGGCGTCAAAGTTATTGGCGATATGGTTCATTAATGGAATTCCCTTCACTGAGATGAGCGGGAAGCGAAACATAGAGCTGCCGGCCTTCTGGATGGCATCGCTGTAGGTTAACTCTTTGTCCTCTGACATGGCTTCAGCAAAAGGATTCATTGGACAGATAAAATCGCTGCAGAAAATATAGTCTGTTGGCTTTGTCTGAAGTCCTTTCTCCTCTTCTGTCAAATATTTACCAGGGCCGTGATTCTCAGCCTTTTCCTGTCACTTCGTTCCGCAATAGAATATCCTTCTCGTCTGGTCCACTAACATCTGGACTTTGCCTCCCGAGGCCCTGTGGGCTTGTTTTACAGCCTCTCTGACACGTGAGTCCCAAAACTCTCAGTGGGTTGTCCCAACAGAATTTTGCTGCAAGCAGAGTGAAAAGAGGCATTCAGCTGTCCTGTAAGTTCCCTCCTCCTGATACTTGATCAACTCTTTCCTGTGAAAGTTGAGGGAAGGACAAGGAGTGTCTTGTTTCAGCTCCACAGCCAAACAAAGAGAACAGTGGTCCTAGTTCAATTGCACAATTTAAATGTCAAGTTTCGGTGGATTGATCAGCAATGTAGTTTAAGCCAAGAGATAAAACTGTTTTCTTCCTGTACTTTTGGGTTTTGTTTTGTCACCCCCCCCCCCACCCCACCCCACCCACTCCCACGGCTTTCTGTCCTGTGTGCTAAAGCATTGAAACCAAGATTAGCAGCGCATAGTTTGTTTATGCATCAGGACAGTTTGCAAAACACACGAGAAGTCATGTGCGCACAGTCAGCCTGCAGCAACTGTTTTGAACTGGCGTCCTGTCAAAGGCAGAGACAATATTGTTCGGTTAAACAAGCTCAGAAAGATTTGACCACAAATCACTCACTTATTAAACAAACCTCTGGGTGGAGACAATGGGCTTTTTGCATGTCTCTGTGTTTTGAGAAATGACTCACCAGCCTCTAATCGCGACTTCTAATCAAACTGGAAAAAGACAATGCTTCTTTTTACACAATGCATTTGAACTAAAAATGCAAACAAAAATAATTTGACATTAAAAACAATGTTTGCTTACAAGGTTACTATTTTTGTTTTGTTTGATTAAACGAAAGAAACATTTCGCTCCTTAAGCTTCTACGAGAACTTCTGCACAAGTATCTGTACAGAACACATGAAAAAGTATATCCCTTCGTCTAAGGGCTTTACGGTAGGGTTTGATTTTCCCCTGTAACCGGAAGTTCCTGCTTCAACTTCCTTGGTAACGAGAAGCCATCGCAACCACTTTTGGTTAGCAAGTTTCACTAGCTCGCTCGAAACGCGTTTGCCTCGGTTTACTGTAACGTTACGTTCAAAAATAAACGAAAGGTTTCTCAAGCTTCCAAATAAATAGCCGCCGAGGAATAAAATGCGTAGCGTGGTTGATTTGTGAGGACATGAACAGCCGCCAATGGGGCCGTCTCATCCTCGTCGTCTTCTCGGGTGGGTGCTTGGCACAAACGGAGACAACGCCGACTGATGGGCAAGCCGTGAGCTTTGCGACCCCCTCTCCGGGGGTCACCGACCGGGTGAACTTCAGCAGTCGCTTCCCTGGCGCGAATGAGTCGATAAATATTTCGGTCGGAAGTACTGGTACTCCCGTTGCAGATAACCAAGCTTCCATCGCTGCTACCATCTCACCAAGTGCAGTTCCAACAAACGGGGAATCTGTTAACTCAGCGACCCCTTCTCAGGGGCCCACCGACAGCGTGAACTCCACCAGTCTCCCCAGTGGCACCACGGAGTCGACAAGTGATACAGTCGGAAGCACTGCGCCTCCAAATGTGGGGGCCTCAAAGGGTAATTTACATCAGCAACCCCCCCCCCTTTTTTTTTTGTTTCATTTAATTTACTGTATGTGTAAATTGTTAGTCATATTAAATCAAGCTCGATTGTCATTACAGGTCACAAGTACAAGGCAACAAATGCAACTCTGTCAATGTCAGGCTTGTAAAGACTGATACTGAATATCTAATACAGACTAACGTCAAGGTTTGTGTCTTACTATCCAGCTTGTGCCTGCGATTTAACTCCTGGTGTCTGCGACATCGGCTGCTGTTGTGACATTGGTGACTGTGGCGTTGCTGACCTGAGTACCATCTTCACAGAATGTCATCAGAAAGCGAAGTAAGGTGTCATCGGTGCATGTAAAAGTGCCTGGTTTTGGCATTGTTTCAAGGACAATATTTTTTGGGGTGTGTGCTCTGCAGGTCAGGAGCATGCATTGAGAAGTGGCAGATGTTCCGGACCAATGTGGATTCTTCTTTAGTCACTGTGACTGAATCTTTGTTTTGTGTTCAATCTGCAGGTAAATGGTTGCAACTAATTCCTACACGGCAATATACAGTGGTGCCTTGAGATACTCTTCTTTCTGGTGTGCATGCCTTGGGCTCCTTGGAGCAGCATCATACATACATGAAGATGTAGTTGGAGATGTTCACTCCTCAGTAAACTGCAGGAATATCAGTCAATCTTTACAGAGGATAAAGAACGTATGCCTGTGGGTATTGTCATTTCTGTCTACATTAGATTACGGTGGCCTGGATGACTGAGAATCTACACATACATAAAAGGGAAAAAAATTCTAGAAAGCACATTTATATTTTGTTATTGTGGGAGTAACATAAAAATATTGGGTGGCAATTATGCTATTCGTATCAATTACGTAGTGGTACATGAAAGAATCGTTGCCTAAGTACAGTTGATTGGATTCAACTCAAGTTTAATGTGCAAATTGCTGAATCGGTTTCATCACAAGGAGACGACCGGCAGTGTTTCAATGTTGATTGATTGATTGATTTTTTTTCTGCCAGCAGTTGACCATTTCAAGGTTCCCACTGCTCCACTTCAGCTTCCCTCTTTAGGGGACTCGTATCACTTCGCACCAGCGCAACCAATCAGCGTCGGCCACAGCAGACATTTTTATCGGGTAACAGGAACACGTTGGTGATGTTTGACAATGTCTCATACAATATTCCATCAGACTTTTAATGCGGCTATTCAGAACCAGGTGCATGACTCAAGTTCTTGCTGCGTATGTGACGTTCAAATCCGTGTTGTAGGTCAACGATGTCATCCAGACGTATTTCACCAGTTCATCTGTGCGAGGTCTCCTTCGTCAGCCGTCTCCGGGAGCCACCAGTGCATTCTGTCTTAATCGCAATCCTGCACGTAAGATGACGCCACGTAAAAAATAAAAAAAAAGTAGTTACAAATATGTATATACAGTATCTATATAGAGATGTATGCACCTTCATTTTCCAGCCACCCGAAACACTTAAGTGTTTTGCTCATCTTGCAGGCTTCTTAAGATCCGAGTCTTTGTCCTGTACTCGCCTGGTAACCCCTCAGTCGTGCACCAAAGACCCAAATCTCAGCGCGCTCTCCTACTTCTCGGACCTGAGTCTAATCCAAGTAAGCAAGTCTGCGCAAGTTTTTCAAAAACTGTTTTCAAATGATCTGTTCTCTGAAATCAATGCGAATGTTGTCATCACAGATTCCAAAACCTGCGCAAGAACAAGTGTCCGACCTTTTGGTGAGAACACCTTTGCCAACTTTTCCTGCTGGTTTAAAAGACGGACGGCATCAGTATCAAGTCTAATGAAGCAAGATGTTTTTTGTGTTTTTTTTTTTTCCCCTCCCAGATCCCAGTGTCCCCGCTATCTGACTGGCCTGCACCAAGCGAGCAAAATAACCTTTGTGTTAATGTGACAAAACAGGTGAGAAGCTTTATTTTTGGTTTTCAAATGACAAGTTCAAGCGCAAACGCTGCCAAGTTTGTAATTTGTATTCACAAAGAGTATAATTTACCATTTCAGTGGAATTTTATAGCTGTGTGAAAAACTTTGCAGTTGTCTACATTTTTTTTCCTGTCAGTACTTTTTTCTCATTTGAAATTCAAAACAATCCGCTTCCTCACTTCAGCTCAGGAAAAATTTCTTGAAACAGTTCATCTTATCCCTACCACATTTTTTTCTTTTCAAACTTTAAAAAGTAAAAGCCCATATACAATTTTATTGTTTTTCCCACCTCGTAATTTCTACATTGTCTTACCAATTCAATCCATTCCAACTTCAACATGTTCAGCTCAGTCCAGGTCATTCAATACCATTCCACAATTTTTCATTCAGCCTCTTTAGCCTTCACACGCAATTTTTCCAGAATTGTTTTTGTTGTTGTTGTTGTTGTTTTTAATTACATTGCAGCTATGTGTTCATGCCTCCCATCTGTCTGGATGCTTTTGCAGGTTGAATTTGTCATCGTGTACACAGACAGAGGAGCACTGGCAAGTGCGACAGTGAATGTTGTTTTAGCTGATGTGGAAATAAACCAGTTGTTTCAACAAGTGCACTCGGTCCAATTCAAGGTATTTGCACCAACGGGTCTTTATCCCAAAGCACAGATTATTACTGTCCTTTCCTCTTGTTTTAGCTGGGGACACCTCACCCGTCTCCACGGCTAACGATCCCTTCAGTTGGAGTGCGGGTGGGATCCAGCATCCTCGGTCGCTTCCATGGAGTAGTGAAACCCGTATCCCCGTGAACCGTGTGGTGAACCTCCTCCAGCACGTTGTGTACCTTTGCCAGTCATGTGCAGCGGTTCCTTGACAGCGTGCCAGGTAACCGTAATGGGGGTGCCGCGAGCTGGCGAGTGCTCCTCTGACCCCTATGCACGGGCGAGCATCCTCTTCACACATAACACAATTGCAGGCTGCGCATTTAGGTAAGGCCGCATGAAGCAACAGCGGGGTCAATCGTGCTTGGCGTGCAAATTGAAAAGAAACACCTTTTAACTTTAACACAACACAGAGAGGAGTGTTGTGAGCAAACAAATCTCTCAAATCGCTTTACGGGGTCTTTTCATGTATTTGCGTGTTCCAAGTTCTCCTTCCAGGGACTGCGCCGAGCTGCGATCCAACGTTCGCTTCGTCTTGCAAGGAGAAGATGCTATTCCTGACATGATTGCCATGAGCTCGGGCTCCCAACCGGAGTGGACCAGAGTGCTCAAAGAGGAGTGTCCCGTCAGCTCGGAGGTAGCAGTCATGTGTAAAAACTGCTGGCATTATTATGAACCCGCGTCATCTTTTCCGACACTCTAATCTTGAGGATCTAATGGGTCGGTTTCCCGACTCTTAGGAAACATGTGCCTCAGGCTGCACCCTCCCACACTCGCTCTTTGTGCAAGTGCTGTGGGCTCGTATGGGCCTCCTGGACCTCCCTCAGAGCTACATCCTGGGAGTCAAGTACCTTTTCCGGTGTCAAAAGTTTCAGGTAGGCCTGTATTTTGTATTTATTGATTGATTTTTTTTTTTTGTCTACATTCTAGACTGACATTTGCCATGAAATGGAATAAACCGGGACTTTCCAAAACTGACAGCTGGTTTAAAAACTTGCCATGCAAATTTGAAAATAACCCCCATCTTGTGTCTTTCAGTGTCCTTTGTCTTCAACCATCAGACTAACCACAGAGGTCGCGTTTGCTGACATGACGGTTTACCGCCAACCGGTGCTAAAGATTGGCTCGCCTTGACTGACACGCCGTGTTTGTCTTCGGCACCACAGACCTGGATGGACTCATTCTTGTTGAAGTTAAGGTCACTTGGAGTTTATTGCCGCTCACGGTCCGCTTCCTAACAGGATTAGAATTCTTCTCCAGGGTAGCTGGATTGTAGATGCAGGGGTTGTTGGAAGTGTTGCTAAGGCATCTTTATTAGTCCAAAAGAAATTCTACCCAAACACTGGCTGACATGGCATTTCTTTATTGAACCAAGTCTTGTACATTTTTAGTAACAGCATTTGGGGCGTAGGGGCATTTTATTTATTTATTTATTTGTACACATCTCCTTCCGTAGCTTCTCCTTTTCCTCAGGTTAGCTCCTATGCGTTCTTTTCTCCTTCTTCCCCGAGTGAAGGACATAGTTGAAAAGATGGGCAATTGCAGCCGGCGTTACTCCTTGCAAACGCGTAGCAGCACCAAGCTGAGGAGCACAATGATCTTATTTCAATGTCTGACACAACTGGTTGACGAAAATGTTGTCAGTTGTTCTTCCTCCTCAAAAAAACAAAAAACAAACAAAAAAACCCAAAACAAAACTCCATATTTTTTTGAAATTTAATTTCAAGCTTGAATGAAATTGACAATTTGTTTTCCCATCACTCACTTTGTTAGGAATCATAGTTAGTCAAGGTCAAGGTCATCTTTATTGTCAAATATGCTTTGTTTGACATGCAGCATAGATGAAATTTCTTCCTCTCCATCCTCAGTGCAAACATGCATGCAAACATGCTGTGCATTAAACACACACAGCTAAGAAAAATGAAAAAAAAAAAATTATGGTGGCTGCAAGTTAAAGTTAGATTTTGCCATCTAGTGGTGGAAAGCCTGAAGCTCAACAACAACAACAACAAAATAGACAACCTCGCTGTGCCGGTGTCAGTGGTAAAAAGTGTTACTGTGGGAGGGTAACCCTGTAAAGATAACACAGGACAGTGTTTTTGTTTTAAACTCACCGTGCTGGGCCGAACTCTGTCCAAAATTTCCCGCACCTCTTGTGACAGAGAGACTGGTAGGGACAAATAGTCCAAGTCCTGTGGGAGAGACATGCTCTCCTCTTTTTGAATTCTCGCAATCTCCTTCTGCTGGAGGACGCAGTGAGGCCTGTACACAGCTGGGCGGCACACATGCACAGAAGAACATCATCATGCGCCGCAGAGATTTTTCACAATACAGTCAAACCTCGGATTTCGAACGTCTCTGTTCTCGACCAAATCGGTTTTCGCCCAAAAATTTCGAGTTTTTTAGGCCTCGGATGACAACCGAATTTCGGTTCTCGAACAACTGAGCGCATTTGAATGCGTCACTTGACTCCTCTCGCCTTCCTCACACGAGGAAGTGACACTTCCTCGTGTAGTGTTCCATTGTGAACAGACGTGTTCAATAAAGATGTTTTTTTTAAAAAGAGCGTGGTTTCGGTTTTCAAACAAATCGGTTTTTGAACAGCCTTCTGGAACGGATTATGGTCGAAAACCGAGGTATGACTGTATTTGTAAATCAGATACACCAAGATGCTTCTGGCTTGCAGAAATTGCATTGACCACACTCGACTTGAACTGAAAACGATGTTGTGATTATTTATACACCACCTTCTATCTTCAGCCTTTGCGAGAATTCTGTGTAGGGTGAAAGGCATTCCGGGAAAACGGAGACCAACATTTCAAAGGTCGCGTCGTTGTACTGAAGCATCTCCAAGCCACTGAAAGAAGAATCGTATACCAGGTGACTACAAACTCAAATAGAGGAACGCCTATGGGATTACCACTTGAGTTCAACAGTTTGTAACTTGCGTCGGATTGGCGGCCTTCATCTCGCTGATGTGCACGCGAGGCAATTTAAGTCTCCATGCTGTGGCGGACAGAGAGACATCCCGAAGAGCTGCAAGCGCATCCTGGAGACTGTCTCTCACTCTCACAGTCTGCTGGTAGCGGCGGGAGGACACGCACCCCACCTCTGCAAAGCCTGAAATGACATGCTTAACTCGTCTCGTTTGGATGGCGGGGTAGTAGTCCTTCAAAAAGAAAGTTCTGAAATCTGTTTTCCTAGTTGTAATCCGTTTTCCCCCCCTTCACTTATAGAAAAGCAAACACAAGGTTGCTCCAATTACAATCGCCAGCGAGGCCCTGCAACGCCATTTACCTTTAAGGGTAAGTCGCAGATCCGCATTGTCCGGCCTCAGTGACGTTCGAAACTCCGCCCGACTGGTGAACATGCGGTAAGGTTCCGTCACACCTCGTGTCACAAGGTCATCAATCAGAACACCGATGTAGCTCTCGGTCCGAGACAGCGCCATTGTGGGCATGCAGAGTGCGGCGCGGGCCGCATTGACCCCTGCCCACAAGCCCTGGAGAGCAAAGTGCAGGGCTGGGAGTCATGGATTTATGGGATGCCACCCGAATTGTGATGGTAAATCAAGGTACTAAAATGCAGCCACCTGCGCAGCAGCCTCCTCGTACCCCGTGGTCCCATTAATCTGCCCAGCCAGGAAAAGACCTTGGGTGCTTTTCACTTGCAGCGCAGGGCTCAGCTGAGTGGGGCACACAAAGTCATACTGCACGCCGTAGCCTAACACACAATGAAAAATAGACCTCAATTTACTTTTATTTATTTATTTTTTTAAATAACATGTTTAGGGTCGCACATACCGGGTGTGTGGATTTCAGCCCTGTGCAGGGCCGGGATCTCTCTAATGAGGTGCAGCTGCATGTCAGGGGGCATTGTCATGGAGAGACCCTGCGGGTACACCAGGTCAGAGGTCAGCCCCTCGGGCTCCAGCCAGACCTGATGTTGCCTGCCCGGGAAGCGAAGTACTCGGGACTCAATTGAAGGGCAGTACCTAAACATTGACAAGGGCCTCTTATTTAGGAAGGGATTCTCAAATTGCACTGTTGTACATAATGTTTAGTTATCTTCTGATTGTTTATGTATTTTTTAAATATGAAATTTAAACCAGATAGGAAGTTAGATGTACATCAAAAGTGGACAGGTGTGTACCTGGGGCCCTTTGTGTCCTGCTGTATGTGACAATTGAGATGAAGACTCTCTTTCACCACTTTATCCACACCAGGAGTGGTATAGGTCAAGTAGCACGGCAGCTGCTCCTCGGCCTGTGAAAACGTGACATTCAACCACAATACGCGGTACTTTGGTGTATTCACATGTGCTTTAAAGTACCTTGCAGTGAGTGTGGCTATTGAGGAAGCTGAAGGGACTTGGTTGACTGTCGGGCGGGTGTAGCGTAGCCTGGTCAAAATCCACTGAAGCCTTCACTATTCTAGGAGGGGTGCCCGTCCTGAGTCGGCCCATCTTCAACCCCAGGCGCTCCCTCAACGTGTGGGACATTCCGGCGCTGGATGGTGCATCTCCGATCCGCCCCCCCGGGGATGTGTTCTGACCCATGAAGAGGGAGCCGGACAGGAAAGTACCCGTGGTAAGAACCACAGAGTGGGCGGAAATTGGGAGGCTTGCACCTGCTGCCATCAGAAAACATTTTTTTTTCAAACAGTTCTTCAAGATTGAATGTGTATTGTACTAAAAAAGTAAATACAATTGAACTGTACTAACATTCACTGCTTAAATACTATTTAGGGAGTGATTATTTTGCATACCATTAGGGAGCTCGTGTACCAATCGTCTCAAATTTGCTGTCTCATTTTAAATTAATCAAAATGACCTAGTTTTTTCTACATTCATGGTAGGGCTTGGTCCTTATGCCCCGTGAGTAGTGGGGGGTTACTCTATTTGTTTTTTAATGGGTTTGTTGCCCACCTAAACGTATCCCAGTGACTCTGTGGCATCCAGGCTCTTCTGGGTTAGATTCTGTAACAAGAAGCTCCTCCACTGATCCCTCCAGCACCGTCAATCTGGAAGTGGACAGCAGCTCGGACTGCAGGTGAAAAGCGGGATTAATAAAGACAATCCTAATTCGAGTTTACCAAATGCTCGGACAGATGAAAAAGTTTAGTCACAACTATAGTTTACAGTAATGTCTAAAACCATCCATCCATTTCCGAATCCGCTTAACCTCACGAAGGTCACGGGCGCTGCCGGAGCCTATCCCAGCTGTCTTCAGGCAACAGACGGTGTACACCCTGAACTGGTTGCCAGCCAATCGCAGGGCGCACACAGACAAGCAATTGTTTGCAAATCGAGGAAGGGAAAAAAAATTAAAAGACCGAAGCAGAAAGGGGGGGGGGGCTAAGAGATGACTTTTTTCATCAATAAAAAGTCACTTTTTTCTTTCTTTCTTCACCTGAATGAATTGGCGGTAGCGTTGGCGGTCCAACTGAGCCCGGGGCCCCCACACAGCGGGGCCCTTCCTGCGATTCAAGATAGAAAAATGGATGCCAGCCCAGTCTCCTGCTCGACCGCACACGCCGTCCAAAGCGTCCACCTCCTTCACCAGGTGACCCTTCCCCACTCCACCCAGAGAGGGGTTGCACGACAAGGCGCCTGGAAGGAACATGACAGAAGGACGCCGCTAGGACCATGAGTGGGACTTTGGTTTCAAAGCTTGCGGCCAAACAACTTCCACCTTGTTCTCTTACCGATGGTGTGAACTTTCTGCGTGACCAGCAGTGTGTGTGCTCCCACTCGGGATGCAGCAGCAGCAGCCTCGGTACCTGCGTGACCTCCGCCCACCACGATCACGTCATACTGCTGTCTGGCAAGGTGACTGGCACGTCTGCAGACCGGCCAGAGGAAGCGCTCCAAGGTGGGAAACTTTTTTCTCAACATGGACGATGCTAACCTGTGTGGATGGGAATGAATCACACTGGATTGGTCACGCTCAAACGAACCGAACGTGCCTTTGGTATGTGGAGTTCACAGAGCGAAGCCAGACCCTAGTGAGATTCGAAACCAGCACCTCTCTATAGGGAGGAAGACGCGGTCTATGAACAAATCACATTTAAAATCTTGTTCTTTTCGACAACGAACACGTGACTGAATGTTAACGAAACAAAATAGGTCTTATGTGTAATTAACCTTTCACCGATTGCACACTTACAAGAACGAATGCATTGTCAGATTGCGGTTATCACAACCCCTAAAAATCAACACCTTGAACTACTTAGTTTCTTTGCCAAAATTCAGAGAATGGTTTTGGTTTCCGCCGTTTTTTGTTGTTTTTGTTAAAGGAATAATAAAGTCCCTTGAGTAAGAGCGTTTTCCCGACATTAGGAAGCGGCCATGCTGCGTGTGGTTTACGGTCGTAATATACGCACTAAAGACGCACACACAAGTTTTCTAGTGGGTGCTTTGTTTAAATCACGTTGTGCAAAAGTAGAAATTAAGGTAAAAGCAAGATATTCCCCAGATACTGTCTTATTTGACGGCGTCCACTACAAGAATGATTCATGGCGAATGTTTTGAGTCTCGTGACAGCCGAATAATCATCAGTTACTGCTGTCTTAAAATTCATTTAATCCGAAAACACTGACACACAAACTTTTTTGTTTTGCCTTGCTATCGTTACCTTTTTTTTGGGGGGGGTAGTCAATTAACATTAGTAAAGCTGTGGGAACATTTTGTTTGATTGTGTGTCTCAGTTAGTTTTTTTTTATTTACTGTCTATTAGAATCGTCACTTTGCGGGCTAATGAAAGAGAAACACTATTGCTCTTATTATCTGTACTTTTTCAATTGGGAAAAGTTCTCAAATGGATGTTGATTTATCTCTTATTCCACTTCATTTGTTTTTTTCCCCTTCTGAGACAAAAATTAGAGAACAATCCGATTCAATCAACTCTTCAACGTGCGCGCGAACGCTAGGTCGAAGGTGCGCGCGCACGTCGAAGCCCCTCCCCCTCCTCTTTCTCGGTCGTGTTTCCCAGTTAACCGCGCGCGGATCGAGTCAAGTGAACCTACCGAGAGGTGGTGCTGACTGACCGCTGCAAGGTTTCTCGACTAAACCTAAATTATTTCACTTTCGGAAGCGACTGACAAGCAACGTAAAGTCTTTGTTTGGAAAAAATTGGAAGGTTTCGCCTGTGCCGGAGTCAAGGTGACGCGGTTAAATGAAAGAAAGTAAAACGCGGAGTGAAAGCGCCTGACTGCAGCTTGAGGATCAAAGCTAATGCTAAGCCACATAGCCGTTGCTACATAATTACACGAAAACTCGTGTCAGTTGAGCCGTCGTTTGCTTTGTCATAACCGCTGATATCACAAAGTAGATGTGCGGAGAAGCATTTTGAGGGCGCACGCCACATTTGGTTGGAACAGCGGTGGTTGGGGAGGGTTGCTTGAACATTTTAGGCCACAAGCGACTGGTATTCACTTAGCAAGATTAGCTACGATAGCCCGTATTGCCGAAGTGACACCGGCTCAACTGCTAAAGATAGTTTATAAGCGAAGCTATTTCGTATCGGACGGTTTAGTGTTGATTACTTTCGATACTTTTGGGTCCGAACCCCCGTGTTTATTCGCCATGCTGAAACAACAGCAGCCCAACTCCGGTGGGAGAAAAGCATCAAATGGTACCACGGGCCCCGCCGGTATGTCTTCTCCAGTCAGTGGCGGCAACCGGACGCCGGCCGGGAGGTGAGTGAACCGGGCAACACGCACTAGGAAACTCCGGGGTCGGCCCCTTGCGCTAAAGGCCTACCGGTTAAAGCTCCGTGTGCTCAATGGGCCGCGTCGCAGCCACAGAGCTTTCTCTCCTGGCCAATCCATTTCGTTTCTGGGGGATTGATATGTGGGTCGAACCAATCGGATGGCTCGAACGGAACCGAAAACAGACTTGAAGGGGCGGGTTGAACTTGGGTGAAACCATTAAGTAGCAAATCAACATACAGGTGAAAGAAAGTTTATCTGGCCGGTCAAGACCCAGAAAGCGGACGCTGTTCGGCGGAACACAAAAATCTCTTTATTTGCAACGCTAACCTCAATGTGGCTCGTTCAGTGAATCATCTTTTAAGAGATTTAATGGCTACCGCAAGGTCTGTCTTGCTCCGACGTCGTTGTGAGATTTTGTTTTGGTCAGATTGGCCTCAGCCTTTGTTTTGTAACCTTAAGTGTGTTTTTTGGCTGCGTTGCCACCTCGTTGAGCAAGCCACATTGGTCTGGTTGGAATTGGACGTAAACATCGCGCTTTGTCCTCTTTTGTGGTTTATATTGCGAGCAGATTTTTTTTCTTTTGTTGTTGCCTTTGTGTACGATGAGTTTAGTTTGGAATTGAATCAACAACTAAACGAAAGATTTTGTCACCATTAGAAGGTCAAAGGGGGAAATTTACAGCCTGCCATTGTTTTGTTGAAATTAGTACTGTATATCAAATAGACCATGTTTTTTTTTTGTTTTGTGCGTGCAATGCTTGTTTCTTTTTTTTACTTTCTCCTTTTCATAATTTTTGCTGCTGTAAATTGCGAATTTCTCCATTGACAAAGGTTTTTCTTTTTGTTCAAACGTTTATTTAAACTGACTTGCATGGAAAATAGAGATTAAACATCTCTGTTTCCTGTAAAAACTGATTTTGAACTGATTTGATGAAGTGTCACCAAGCATTTTTTTGGGGGGTTTTAGAATAAATTTCACGTTGCTGCGCTGAAATGTATCATGCTTAAATTTCTGTTTTTGTTTTTAACAGGAATCGAACTACTGCGAAACCGTCATTCCAGTCTTCTCCCGTGAGTATCGAGGCCCAGATCATTAGGCCAACAAACACGAGCAAAACCTGAACCATACTTTACTGAATGACTAAAAGCACAATGACAAAAGCGGTGGTTTTGTGGGCTACTACCAACCACTTTCAGTGAAGGAGCACCAAAGATCCGAAGATCTTTCTTAGCTGTGTGAGCAATTGTGGCTCTGCAAGATTCAGTCGCTTTCCAGTCAAACAGCGAAAGTAGCTGCCTCCTTCCACCTCACTTCACCGGATATGATTAAGGTGGTTGGAGATTAGGGCTGGCATTTTCTGTTAATGAAAGGTGCGGGCGTAATGTCTTGAGTCCCAAGCAAATGGATACATATCACATCATGTCAGGACAGCTTGTTTGGAATGTGTTGCTGGAGTCTTGATGGAGACTGTGTCTTGTCTCTTGTGCAGGTTTTTGAGGGTGTGTACAACAATGCTCGAATGCTTCATTTCCTCACAGCTGTTGTGGTAAATTTTCATTGATCATTTTCCATCTACATCCAGAGAATGTTGTCAAGTTCCTTGGTAATTACAATTTTCAAATTGCATCTCCTTCAGGGTTCCACTTGTGATATAAGGGTGAAGAATGGGAGTGTGTTTGAAGGCATCTTCAAGACGCTCAGTTCCCGGGTGAGGCTGCTACTTTTGACTTGTAATGCGCACAGAAACAATCAATGCGAGACGTACTATAGTGGAAACTTGACTTTAAACTTTCATTTGTTCCATGACAAATCTGACCAAATAATTTTTCCCTGTTGAAATAAATCGGTGTACTGTTAATCCCACATCTGCCTAATACAATGTTTCAGACGCTCAATGGAACATTTCAACATTTGGGGAGCCCCGGGTGGGGTGCGATGATAAAGAATCGCCAACACTGCTTGCACAGAATCTATTTACACGCAGTCTAAACTTGTTTGCTCCCCTTATTGTTCTTAGTGTGAATTGGCCGTGGACGCCGTGCACAAAAGAGGGGAGGAGGGCTCGACTTTGGCTCCGCCGCGGCGGGAAGACATCACCGACACCATGATTTTCAGCCCTTCGGATCTGGTTACGATGATATGCAGGGACGTAGACCTCAACTATGCCACCAGAGGTGCGCACTTAAGTGAAATTCATCGTAACCATTGTGTTTGTAGTCACGGTCAATGTTTTACTCGTGTCTGTGTAAACAGTGATGAGTGTAAGTGCACAGGGCAACTCAAGATTATTTTACCAGCGGTGGAGTTTTGCAGTATGTGTTGGTTTGCAAAATGAGCGCTAAAAGACGAGGCTCACAGGCAACTTACGATATTGTTGAGTTGACGATTGCATCACCGTGTCTTGTGTGCAGATACCTTCACCGACACAGCCATCAGCTCCACGCGGGTCAACGGCGAACACAAAGAGAAAGTGTTGCAGAGGTGGGAAGGAGGAGACAGCAACGGGGAGAGTTATAATCTGGATGCGGATACAGTAAGTTCCTGCCAGTCTGTCATTCACAGCATGAGCTTGTAAATGTCAAATATTGTCGGTTGATATGCCACTGCGGTTCTTTCCCTCTAAAAATTGGATTCTGTTATTTGTCTATGCACTGCAAGTGACATTTGGATTTGTACTTTGTCATTGGATTTGTAGTTTGTCCAAAAAAAAAAAAAAAAATCTTGCTTCCAGATAGCCCTTTAAACGTGGCGTTTCACACTCCTGCTATAAGCCGTGTTTTGATTTGTTTTGTTGAATGCTAATTTATGCCCCCCCTCATAGTCCAACGGCTGGGATGCCAACGAGATGTTCCGCTACAATGAAGTGAAATATGGAGTCACATCAACGTATGATTCCAGCCTCTCTATGTATACGTAAGTTTCCGTCAGAGTCTTCGTGTCAACCTGGCGATATCAACCACCGAGAAATGTTTTTATTGATTCACTCAAACATTTCCTTGTGTGTATTTTTGAGTTAGTGGTCGATTCTGTGAAGTCAGAGAAACACTGAATATGCATATTGACACAACTCCAACCTAGCGTGCCGCTGGAGAGGGGTACCTCCGAAGTGTACCGACAGCGGGAGGCCCGCGCCGCTCGCCTGGCCAACGAGATCGAGTCCAGCCCCCAATACCGCCACCGCGCCGGCCTGGAGAACGACGAGGGTAAAAGTGAGGAGGACAAATACAGTGCTGTGGTGCGCGACAGCACCGATCGGGACAGGAGCCACGAGAGCCCCCGCGAACGTGAAAGGGGTCGAGACAGCCCCGGGGCCAGGTGAGTAGAGCCGTGTGGAGTTTACTGACCGCAATCAAACTCGTCAAGTGCCAAATTTTATTTATTGATTTATTTTTATTTTTTTAAATTGATAGTTGTGCTGTTGTCTTGTGTTGTTCAGGGAGGGCAAGTACATTCCTTTGCCTCAGCGGCAAAGGGAGATGAACCGGGATCGAGCCGAGAGAGGCCCCGGCGGTCCTCCGCCCCACAGTCGTCTGAGTGGGGGTTATCGCTCCACTCCTCCATCCTCCTCGTCCCCCAGAGCCCCGCTGCCTTCGACGGGCGGTCCCCAAACTGGTGTCTCCCCATCAGAGCGAAGCAGCCCCCTATCGGGCCGAGGCGGGGCCTACGTTGCCCACCACCCGCAAGGAAGCCCCAGCCCAGGTCCCGGCTCTGCTCCCGGCAGTCCGTATACACCCGCCTCTCCTGGGGCCGCGCCCAGCTCGGCAGGCTCCCTCTCTGCCACCCCTTCCCCGACTAGCCCACCTGCCCCCCATGGACACTCAGTCCCACATTCCCACTCCCTACCACACTCCCTGTCAGAGGCCGGTAGACCTGTTAATGGAGGTAAAGCTCTGTTTTTGTCAATAATGTCTTGTTTTTCGAAAAGAACACACACATCATTGTGATAGTACTTGAAAAGTCAATTTTTTTCTTTTTTAGGCTCTATTAATTGGAGGACCACTAAGTTAGACCTTACATGTGCAGGAGGCATGGTCAAAAAAGGGTTCCTGTTTTGCCACGTTTTTGCTTCGGTCACTGAATAATCTTTCTCCAGCGGGGCGTTGTTGCGGAAAATGTTCCTATTTTAGTGTGTAAATAGCTTGTTTGTGTCATAAAACCCTGTAGCAAAGGCATTTGTTATAGTTGCCGGTCATCGTAGTTGTCAGGGGCATGGCACTCATGGCGGAAATGTGTGGCGCAACTCCCCAACTTTTTTACCACTGCCACTTTCAACGGCAGATGTTGATCTTTAAGTTGAAAACAAAATGCGATTTGTCTTTCAGTTGCTGCCAGGACTTCTCCCAAAGCTCAAAGACCTCCACAGTCGAGCAGAACAGTCCGCACTCCAAACACACACGCTCAGTCTACTGGTACCAGCTCCTCCCTTTTTAATACATCGGCTACTCTTTGAAAATTTTTATTTTTTTAATGACTATTGATGAGCCTGATTCTGTCCTTGCAGCCACTCGTTCACCGAAATCGGGCTCTTCCCAGGACACCCCTTACTTGGACACGTCGTCCATCTCCTTGCCTGCTCAGAAGACGTCGGGCCCCGCCCCTCTGTTCCCCGTGGACGGTACAATCAACACTTTGACCTCCTGTTCACCTTTAACAATTGAACATTGGAGAATGAAGTTCACCTGCCAAATTGAGTCCGTCGACTCACCTAATGAAGCGGCATGACTCATTACTTGGTCATTTGTCTTGCCAGTGAATGAAATCCTATCTGCCGCTGCAAAAGAACGCTTGGCCGAGAGCCCCGGCGGCACGGAGGACAGCAAGAGCAGCAAAGGTGAGAAGGTGACAAGCCGACATTAAGCCGGAACACCACAACTGTTTTCCCTAAAACCATCTTTTCGTTTTCCGCTGTTTCCCCGCCCAGCTCCTTCAGTTCAACAAAGGTCACAAATTGAGGAGCTACGGAAGTTCGGCAAGGAATTTAGGGTGAGTGTTTGCTTCCTTTACAAAAAACCTGGGAATGCAATCCCGAAGTAGAAGACGGCCTGTGGCATTCCCGTGTCCATTTGGAGACTGACGCTTCGACTTTGATGAATGTTTTTGTAGAATTTTATTGTAATCCTGAAAATGTGATGACACTTGAATTAAATTAGCACCTTTGGTTTTCCTTCAAGCTCCAGCCGAGTGGAGGCAGCTCCGGCTCACCCAGCTCTCCCGCTGCAGCGACTCCTCCTGTGGTCGGCGATGTCGCCCAGGCCGGCGCCGCCAAACCTACGCCGCCGGCAGACCCTCACGCCGCCGCCGAACCCAAACCGCAGCCCGCTGCCCCCAGCCCATCCCATCCTCAGCCGTCGGGGCTCCCGTCCGATGAACCCAAGGAAGCCAGCACGCCGGGTGGCCCCAACTCGGTTGCCGCGGGAGCCGTTTTGGACAGACATTCGCCGGCTGCCCCTCAACCGGCCAGGGCCCCGGGAAGTGAGGACGGCATGTCGGAGCGCACGGAGGGTGTAGCAGAGTAAGTTAAAAAAAATAGATTGTTTAGCCACTAAGATAGGAGAAAATTTCAACACCTTGTCTTTGTCTAGCCAAGTGAAGAAATCCACCTTAAACCCCAACGCTAAAGAATTCAATCCAATCAAACCTCAGATGCCTATGGTGAGCCTTTTTACCTTAAGTGAGTGTAAGTGCGACTACCGCATTTCTGACTCTGTCCAATTACCTTGCGGTCCAGACAAAACCCAACACGGCCCCCACCCCGCCTCGACCCACTCCTCCGAGCCCCGTGGTCATTCAGCACCCAGGCGGCCAGGGTCCACTTTACAATGCCCCCTACCTATCCTATGTGTCGCAGATTCACTCTGTACAGGTACACGAGCAGAGACCGTCCCCATAAATAACAATTTCCGATTGTATTGTCAGGCAAAGAAAAAAAAAATCCTTGATTTTTCATTTTCCAGACCCCACAGATGTACCAGTACACCATGTCTGCAGTCAGCCAGGGAAAGTACCCCAGGACCAAAGGTCATGCATGAAACTTGTTTTTGCCTCTGACTGAATGTTGTTTCAGCTGTACAGTGGTACCTTGTTGGGGCCACGCCCACATGTCCTCAAACCATGTGGGCCGTTGCATTTCAGGCTCTGTAGTGGCACCGCGCTCAGACCATGGTGCCTCGGCGCCCCCCATGCTGCAAGCGGCAGCAACAGCCGCCGGCGCCCCCTTGGTTGCGTCCCCTTACCCTCAGTCCTACCTTCAGTACAACCCGCAGCAGTATGGCCAGCAGCAGGTCATCCAGGCCATGTCACCCTACCCAGGACAGGTAGGAAACAGCCCGTAAGTGTTCGTGTCTTGCCTTTATTTCAAAAAATGTTCGACTCCCCACTCTCTCTTTCAGCCCATGTATTCCATGCTGCAAGGGGGGGCTCGGATGATAGGGCAAGGCGGGGCTCCCCACCCGCAAGCCCTTGGACCTCCAGGAGGCCCACAGTTCCAGACACAGGGGGATGGGCCACAGGGACCTCAGCAGGGCATCTATGGTGAGCAACAAAGTATCTGAATGCACCTTAAAAGACCTTTCGCACCACTTTCTAATCAATGTTCCTTGAAACTGGCAAGCTGGAATAGTGTGGACTGTCTTTTGTCTTCAGCTCCCCAGTCCTTCTCCCACCACACAGGGGCCGTACATCAACCGCAGCCATCCAGTACCCCAACAGGCAACCAGCCCCCACCCCAGCATCCTGCGCCCAGCCCCGGACAGGTGACACCGTCTCGGAGACTTTTGAGTCTTTCTGATATTACAGGGTGTCCATAAAGTCTCTCCATACTGTGATATGTATTTGTTTTTGTTTGTTTGTTTGTTTGTTTGTTTTTATTTTTTCTATTGAATAGACACAACTTGGCGGCCTTATAGCACAAATGCCCAAGTCATTTTTGTAGAAATTCTTACCAAAAGAGCCATACGGCTCCATCAATGACTTGTGCCATACACCACTCGATGGATGTGACAATAGATGTCCGTGCTTAATTCCTGTTGTTTTTGTGCATTTTGCCTTTTCTTGCGAAGTGCGTTTTTTTTTTTTTTTTTAATAATCACAACCCATTTCTTGAACGCGGAACTTGAAATTAAATATCTGTGATGCGATCTCTACTCTCGTTGGCTGACGCCCACGTCACTGACCAAGTCAGGCCCCGCTCTTCAAAGTCATATACAGACTCGACAGTCAGTCGAATGTGAGCAATACCCACGCCTCACATGCATGGCAGTTATTTTTTTTAATCCAATTAATCAATAGAATATGAGATTCTAAAAATATTTGATCGCTGCAGCTCTAAATCTGATTAACATATCTAATTTTTAATTTTTTTTTTAATAAAGAGACTTTCTGGACATGCTGTACAAACGCTTGAATGTAAATGTAATTTTGGTGCAGCTGAAGTGTCAACAAGAGTGGTGCTTAAGTTCACAGTGGTAACAACGACCAAATGCTGATTGTTGGCTTCCAGAACACCCAATCCGGCCCACAGCCCCAGTCCTTGTACCACTCAGGTCCACTGTCCGCACCCACCCCGCCCAACATGCCGCCTGGCCACACGTCCCCGCAGGGCTCCTACCCCATTCAGGGCTACAGCATCCACGGCCACCAGGGCATTCCACCCACGTATCCCCTGGGCCAGTTGGCGCAGGTCGGAACCCATCCTATTGCTTCCCAGGTCCCTTTTCCAGTTACAAATCTGAAGCTGTCCTGTCTTCTTCTTGGTCAGGCCCATGTACAAGGAGCCATGTCAGGCCCCCACCATTCGGGGAGCCATGGTCAGCCCCAATTAGTGATGCTGCAGCCTCCCCCGCAACAGGGGCCCGGCTCGGTGCCCCAGCACCCGCAGCACGGACCGCAGCAAGGGACACACCAACACTTTTACATCGGGCATCCGCAAGGTAGGACGACACGGTGAACCGCCGCCCTGAAAGTGAAATGTCCGAAGATGGTGCCCCAAGCCTGATTGGAATATTTGTGCTTTGGCACCATCTTGTGGCATCTAAAAGTCATTTCTAGACCTTTTTCGAGGGCGTCAATTACTCTGGGGCTTCCGCTCGTCTTGGTAGGGCTCCATCCCTGTCACCCACAAATAGCTGAGGAACTCACCTGTGATGCTCCTGCGATGGCGCAAGGTGGAGCCAAAGCTTTGCCTGATTGGAAAGTAGTAAATGGTGTCAAGAGATTCGTCCCGACTAAGACATTGACATCTCTGTAAATCAGGAGGAGCCACATTTAGCCTCCATTGTCAGTGGAAGTTTCTGTAATTCTATTCCAAAAGTTATTTTCATAGATTATGGATTCAGGGTCCAGAAAAACCTCTATGATGTAAAAATAAGCAATCTATAATCTGTGAACGTTTTAACATTTTGCAAGTAATTATGGAAATAATAAAACTTCTCTGTGATACTTTTTTTGTTGGGGGGGGGGACATGAACGTGCACACTTCCAGGGGCCTGACAAAAAAAAAAAAAAATCAGTATGCCATTCATTTTTATGGATATCATAAACTGAGTTTGAAATGCTATGATGGTGTTTTGGAATCATGGTGAATGATGCATTTACAATTGAAACTATTCGATATCGACGACGATAAATATTTTCACTATTCACACCATGAGTTAATGTACTTTGGCCCATTCAGTGAAATGTTTCTTTTTGGCGCTGACAGCAATGCAGGTTCAGACACACCCGGCCTCCTTCCATCCACCCGGAAACTAAACTTCTCTCTTCAAAAAATGTTCCCGGGATTGAGCGCCGCCGTCCCCGCAGCCCGCCTGACGACGGTTCGACTGAACGTCCCAAAACGAGACTGACAGCAAAGCGCAGCGGCGGGGAAGGACATAGCCTCATAGCACCTTCTTGTTTTACTTCTTCTTCTGCTGCTGCTGTTATTGTTCATTGGCCCCAGAAGTGAAGGAGTGTTTTCTTTTTTCGTTTTTAATGCAAACGGATGAAGATGGCAAGACGACGAGCACGACGGCGAACCTGCGTGCAAATCCAGTGCTCCTCTTCAACTTCTTCCCTTTGTTCAGAGGCAGGAGGCACCTTGCTCACTTGGACCAGTCAGAGGACAAAGGGTTTCATCTTCCAGCAAAGTGTTTTTGGCCTGGTCGGGTGTGTTGGCTTTTTGACACACACACGCACATGTTCAGGATGAATACTTACTGCATGACACGGGGCATTTGAAGAGAGGATGGGATTTTTAACTAATCGTTTCTTTTAACTCACCCCGGTTGCTTAAAAAAAAAAAAAGAATCAACCTCTGACCGTTATTCTCTTCTTTAGGTAAATAAAAAAAAGGACAAGACAAAAAAAAATTCAAAAACAAAATGACCAAAAAATAAAAGTTTTCAACTTAACCACGTTATTCTGCTACTTTATTTTATCTCTAGGTGCAGTGGCATATTGTAGCGCATTCATTCAAAAGCTTGCTATTCTTTTGTCGCATTGAAAGCCATTGAGCATTTCTCCCATATAGCTTGAGGTCCATGTACGAGTCTGCTCTTTGCCTTCACGAGTCAAGACAAATCGGCGCATTAGCAGAGTAGCTGATTTAATGGTGATGTTTTGACCGCTCGAGTTTGACATGGGTGCAACATTACTAGTGAGGATAAACCTCACTAGTTGACAACTGTGTGCTACCAGTGCAAACGGAGGCGAGTAACATGCCGTTGTGATACCAAGGCCTTTAAATTGGATATCGAACTGAAAAGAGCTTTAAGTTTAAGGATTGAGCGCTTGGGGAAAATGATTGTCTTACGTATTATGTAATTACGACGCGTGTCAGACGAAAAACGGGCATCTTGATCGCGCATGCGCAATCATTCCCCCACCCCCCCTTGGCACTTGGCCTCCATCAGGGGTGTCCAAACTCGGTCCTGCCTGTTTTCCAGCTCTGCCAGCTGCAACACCTCTGATTCAAATAACCGGGGTTGTTCTAATGCTGCTTCAGAACTGGCTGATGAGCTGATCATTTGAATCAGGGGTGTTGCTGCTGGGAGCGATGGAAAACCGGCAAGACGGTTGCCCTCCAGGCCCGGAGCTGGACTTGCCTGGCCTACATGAAAGCTATGCGTTCACTTGTTGAGTCAATAGTGATTTTAATGGTTTTAGGTCTGCGATACATGCAGACAATAATAAATCACAAAAATTGTGAATAAAATTAAAATCAATTTTTGAACATATTGGTTACAGTATACTGTCGACCCCCTGCACCCCCCCTAAAAAAAAAAAAAACTTGCACGTGTGAATAAAAACCACGTGGAATTAAGGAATTTTTTTTTTTTTTAAGCATTCAGCCTACAAGTATGTTCGAGTGTATTTGTCAGTCAAGAATGTTTTACTCCACATTAGCATTTCCACGCTTCTGGAAGAAGCCGATGATAACTGCAACGCGTGCGTCTCGTACCACTGCCACTTATCGCAGAAGTAGTTCCAGTCACGCTCGGTCTCGTCCACGGCAAACCCCCGAGCCTGAACGAAGTTCCTGGCGATGGGGCAGGCCTCGTTGAGCAAGCCGAGGCCCCACGTGGTCAAAGGTCGCCGCTGGGCGGCACAAGCAGCGAAGAGGGACGAGGCCACGCCTCCTAGGAAACCGGTGGGATGAGGGTGTGTCATTCTGCCCGTTTCTACGGCAACCGCAACCAAGGGAAACAGCTGGTCAGGCTTCGGGTACCTGCACAGAATACCTGTCATTTGTTACCAAAATGGACAAAAACTGATTCGGAGATGAAGGGGAAGTCAAAGTGCGTTTGAAAAAAAAAAGTCTTTTGAATTGTAATTTGAATTAATAAATCCAGCACCACCGCGACACGAAGAGAGGATATGCGGTTCCAAAAATGGATAATTCTTTAATGCATTCCATCTGTATTTTCTGAGTGACCATAAATTGTTCAGTTGTTGTTGGGAGGGGAGTGCATGTGTAAAATGCTTTTGGGGATTTCGCAGGACGACCACGCGCTGACTTTTACAATGAGGCCATTTCGTAACGGAAATTCCGGATTTTTTTACATATAGTCACAGGCGGTTGACCACACGCGTCTGAACAATATATTTGGTGAGACTGTCTGCGTCTCTCGTGGAGTGGTCACTTATGAGATGGGCTTTGCCTTTGGGCGACGTGAGGCATTCAGACCTCACCCAAAACCCTCGCCCCCGCCAGTATTCCCAACCACTGCCTGCCTTCATCATGCCATCCTGAGATTTACAAAGCCAAGTTCGTTTTACATTGAAGACGAGTATCACAAAGAGATCGTGTCATTTTGCATTATCGGCGATCGTCAATAAAGTGCAAATAAAACACCCATCCGCACACTTCCAAACGTGTAAGACAACTTTATTCATTGTTTCAAGCTTTGTTGACAAGGGCAACTCCGCTGGAACCGTCGAAACGCAAGTCTCGTCTGGATGGTTGCGGGGTGGTCACTGCTGGTCCCAACGGGGCCGGGGGCTTAAGTACCTGCAACACCCAAAGGATCACGGTGAAATCAAACTTCGTTTCAGATTGAGGACGAAACATCGGATGATTTTCTGAGGGCCCCGATGCCCCCCCCCCCCCCCCCCCCCCCGTCTTTCGGGGAAAATACAAAACAAAAACCCCCCCAC